GACCCGGGGAAGACTCTGCACCCTTGGGAGACATCGCACACGCGCGCCGAGGATTACCGCGCGGGCACAGGGGAAATGGAAACGGGGCACCGAGGAGTGGCGAACAGCAGGATGCGAGGTGAAGTTGTGCCCGACATGTTTGCTTCTGCTTACATAATTCCTGTCTTGGCCACTTCAGGCGTATGTGTAACTCAGTGTTTCATGTGGAGGGACAGCTATATGAAGGTGTATTCTTTGGATATTTATTTTGTTACTGAAATTCTCCACAACACTGATCACTTTTGTGTCATCTATGATAGTCTTGTGTCGAACGAGGACCCATATTTCACGTATGGTCCTTACCTATAACATCTGTCAGCTCACCAGCATTGCTTCAAGCGAGCCTGACACATAATGCTGATGAGTCACCTCATGTCAGGACTCCTCCAGTCTGCTTGTGTTGAGCCAGTGCTGCTGATGTTGTGCTCTTCTGTGCAGTCATGTGTCTGATGGAATGTGTAGGAAGTGCTTTTGTTTTTTACGCGGGGAGACAAATATGTGAATCGGGCGTAGCGTCTCTTTTTAGTCCATCCCGCTAACAAGTATTATTATTACAAGATTGTGTGATATTTTGATGTTGGTGGAGTGTCTAATGTACGTCTGTCTGACTACAGGCACCGTCCCACACCACTCGTGTTGCCATATACGTACATTATTTACAAAAAACATCTCCCGTGTAAATCATGACCTGCGGCCGTGTTCATCCTGAATTCTTGTTCTTAGATGATGAGAATGGCAACGAAGGAGCCAAGCGGAATCTGGTGGCCGAATTGGACTTGGCGAGCCATGCCACGGCCATGCGACTCTCCAAAGTGGCCAACTACACCGCACTGCTACCTAACTGCAACCCGCACGGCGGTGGCGTCGCGTCTCGGCCGTCGCGCGCGCCTCCGCAGTCTGCGCCTCTGCACGGTAACACAGCGCGTCGTGCAACACGGCCTGCCTCCTGCTGCTCGCGGAACTCGCATTCTAAGCAGCGCGCGTGCTCATCGTAACGTCGTCATGCATCATTCGTATTGGATTTCGCCAAACATCTTGATGTAGGACCACAGAGCTTGGGCAATTGTTGGTAGCCTTTTTCTGGCTGCATTCCCACTTGTCTGTTGTCTCCTGTTCCTCTGTGCAAAAATCGCTAAAGACACCGCTATATAAAAATGAACCGTGATTAGAAGATGTACCATATTGCAACATTCCTATTTTCGTAAGGCTATGAACTCACAGTTGAAAATTGTGGCCATTCCAACAGAGACAACTGTAGACCAGTTTCATCCTCTCAAGGACTCATCAGTACAATAATACGACCACACATCCCTTGAGCTGGTACATGTATGTATATTGAACTTCTTTCACACTGTACGTAATCAGCCGTTCTAATTTGAGTTGTGGGGAAAGAACAACAAACTAAACACAAAAAGCAGTTGTAAACAAATGGGTTTTTAATCTAGATTTAAAAGGGCATGGCTCCAGTGGCTTCCTAATAAAGGCTGAAAGCATTGTACATGCGATGTGATTACATGAAATGCACACAAGGCATGATGGGAGTTGTGACTAGTTGCTGTTTGTGAGCGGCAGACCTCTGCACGTGATCTCTACACTGATTGATGCAGTAGGCTTTGATGACACTGCTTCATCGGAGGAATGTTTGCCTGTTTGGTTTTACCTGATAAGAGACGTGGATTGATAAGTGTTATCGTTTGTCTCCCATGTAACGGATACATAATTATGAATTTTCTTTTTGTCACACAGACTTCCTTTGTCGCAAACCCATTTCCCCACATAGCAACTATGGCTACCTTTATTGTATCACCCGAGGACTGCAAACTCTCATTTGTGCGCTGCAGATCACAGTGCCACGCGGAACCACAAGCCACCAGGCCGCACCGACGTTCTTGGTACTGAGAAGAAGCCACTTTACCGGGAAGCGCTGGACGTCGACAGCGTGGACTTTGCGAAACCCCGGGGCCCCCCATTGTCCAGAAAAACGCAACATGGGGCACAGGCCACTGACGCCACGCGCGGCACCCAGGCCTCCTGTAGCCTGGAGCAGGTCGCCCACGAGCTGACGGCGCGAAAAGGCCGCACCCGCGTCCCCATCTACCGTCACTCAGGCCCGGCGGCAGCGGTGGCGGGAGACGAATCCCTTTGCAGAACCCGACAAGAAACGACGCTGAAGGCATCTTTTGTTTAGCATCAGTCTGTTGGATACCACACGTTGACCGCCAGCTGCACCATACACTTCTCAGTCCGTCTGGACCTGATATCAAATTTTGTATTTTAAAACAGCATTCGTCAACCCAAGAGGCCTATGGCATAAATGCAGTAAATGCAAAAAATCTTATTTTACACGGCCTAATATCAAATTAGTCGACTAATCATTCGACTGACCTATGTTTAGGACCACTAATATATGATGTATTAGTATTTTAACTAAATATAGTGTTAAATATATTGATAAGGAAAGTGGTATTAGAATTGCTCAAACAACTTCACATGACCAACACAGCCAGAGGTCTTCATCCAGCAGTCGATTGACAAGAGTTACAGTAAATTATTATTTATTAGGAATGTCACAATGCAGCTCTCCACAGTTTGATGACATGTTACAGTTGTAATTCGATTCACAATTGTTTTGGTGTCATTGTGGTATATGTAGAACATTGAGGTGGGACTATAACATCTACTGGAATATAGTTTATATAAACATGCCAATTCAAAACGATCGATTCGCACAATACAACACGTGCATCTTGAGTGTAGTTAGGATGCATTTCACCGAACTATAGTCTTGAGTATTCATGCTTCTGTAAGTATTGCAAAACGCTGCTGGCAAGGTGGATAATAAAGGATGTATCACTCGTTCCTGACAGTCCACATCCGGTGACGTTCATTGTCATGCATGGTGCAGACACGTACCCACAAGTACCCAACTGTTAATCTCTTTCGGCAGACAATAAACACCAAGTGCAAAATGCACACTGCCCAACAAAGGACCATATCATTTCAGAGCCAGCCATGCACGATGTAAGCAAGCCAACCTACAAGATTTGCTTTTTACAACAGAAATCAGAACCCCAACACATTAGGCAGATAGCGTGCATTAAAGTTTTATCAGAGTACATACGGATTAATATATACGCACACCAGCCCACGGTCTACATTGCAGTTGGTTTATAATTTATTTTAAGGTTAAGCCATGTCACGATCTGGCCAAATGTGTGGTAAGACTCCACCACCCGATAGCCAAAAACATTAAACGGTCACGTGCAATAAAGCAAAGCTTTTTTTTTATTGAACCATAAAATGGTAAGTCATTATATACATGGGCATGTTCATCGACTACGTTGAACAATTCTCATGAAAATGTAGCAATTAGATCAGATTAGCTTGGAAATGCCATGTATTGTATGTAATAACTTAAGTTGGTTGTGAGAATTGTTTGGCTATGTTGGGTGTTGGAGGGTGTTATAGCATGGATTTGTCCAGAACAGTACGTGGCCTATCCCAAAAATATATTATGACCCAATGCAATCAGCTTGTGAAAGGTGTGTCAAGTTCATTGAGATTTTTACAAAGTTACTGCAAGGGGCTGCACAGCCCAAATATTCCGAATTCCTGTGACAATTTAATCTCTCCAAATGATAACCAACTCAATCGCCTTTTACAATAACTCAGCTTTAGAAAAAAAAGCACACCTTTACAAACTGGTGGAAACTGCTGCTGCATCAGTGTCAGCGCTGAGTCGGCCATATGGAGGTATGGGCGCTCACGTGTGTGAAGTTTATACTGTATTCACTCGTGCAGAGTTCCGAGGGGTGAGCACAGAATGGCACAGGTGGAACCTCCAGCAGGGCCAAAAAGTGCAGCACAAATGTTTTACTGTATAGAGGTAGTGTATAGACTTTTGAGCAAGCCTGACCCTGGTGAGACGCTGTCGAACTAGTCCAAAGGACGACCTCTGCAAAGATACACACTGCACACACACCGCAAACACATCACACAGGCACGTATACGCCACATCAAACTCGTGTCGCTGGGTTTGGATTGCAATGCGCTCACCACTGCCCTCACCCACTGCATAACAAGGGAAGAACACAACATCCACACAATCACTCTGCAGAAGAAGCACACTTAACGCTCTCGGTGTAGTGAAACGCAATCCTTGTGTATAAAGAAATCGAGAGGCTCTATGAAAAGGGAGGTGACACCACAACTGGGAACCGCAGGGATGAGACTCAACGTATGGTGCTGAATGTGAGCGTTATCAGCACCACTGAGTGGACAGAGCCCCGCTCCTACAGCTCGTGGGTGTAAGGTGCAGTGGAATCGATAGACAGCCGTGGTTGGGGCCTGTCAGTTGGGGCAGTTAAAGGACAGCCACGAGGCTGTCAGTTTGGCCACTTAAGGGAGGAGAGTAGCAGTTGGAGTTCAGTTTAGCCTGGAGAGAGGAGAGGGAGTGGCTGGATTGTGAGCTCCATTGGAAGTTATAGAATTAATATCGGAGTGTAAACAACACGTAATATTATTTGATTTGAAGCTTTCGTGGCTGCAGGAATTACTCTTTGGTTCTTTCAGTAAATTCACATAGAAAGAAAATAAATTAAATAGAATACGACGTTTCGATTGCAACACAAGCAATCATCATCAGGTAAGAATGAATGAAAAAATAAACCTAGTAAACTTAAGAGATATAATGCAGTACAACACAGAGAGTCGGCTTTCACAACAGTCAACACCCTACCTGGTTAATTACGTTCGCCCCGAATTGCCCGATGATGCTGGATGTATTTACCAGCGAAACGTCGTACTCAAACTGTAAATGTTGTGGATTCACTCTTCAACACACCGGTGGGCTAAAGTAGTGAATTATTTGTCTTTTGTCAACGTGACACCTTTTTTTGCTGATTGGCCGTGTCGGGTGGTGGAGGGTTACGACACATTTATAAATAACGCGATCTAACCCAAAAACCTTTATTATGAAAAGGTGACTTAGTAAATTTAAATAATCAAATAGTTAATAATGAAAATGTATCAAAATTTGTGTTATAACAATTCTATTTAATTAAGTATAACGTGTTGTTTACATTTCAAGTTGCGTTTTTTGTGACGTCACATTTCTCAAACACCCCCCCCCTCGCCACACATCGTCATAAATGTCTGAACCCCCGAGGTGCGTGACGTCATTTATGGACAGCCCCTTAGTGTTGATGATGTGTGTTAGTGATGTGGGTCCGTGTTGATGTGTTCGTGATGATGTGGGTCCGCGTGATGATGTGGGTTTGTATTGATGATGTGGGTTTGTATTGATGATGTGTTAATAATGATGTGAGTCCGTGTGATGATGTTAGTGTTGATGTAGGTCTGTGTTGATGATGTGGGTCTGTCATGTGGGTCTGTGTCATGTGGGTCTGTGGCACTGGGGGTGTCCCCCTGTCTACACCACGTGGCGACATCGCCCCCTACTGCCGTCACAACTTGCCAGGACTCCAAAATGAGGAATCCCGGCCCTCGGCGACGCATGGTTGACTCAGTGCTCGTTCACTGCACTTGCCCCAACAGACTGTTAAAGGCTCTCCGTGGGTTTCTCTGTATCGGTGCGTGTGTGTAGATGGCCGGGGTTACAGATCAGGATATGGGTGGCAGCAGGGATGTGCAGTGGAGCGCGCAGATTCCATCAAACGCCATTACCACCGGCTTTGGCAAAACCCCGCAAGGTAATACACGCGGTGTGACATCACGATGCCCATGTTGTGTGGGGAACGTCACGGTGGCAAGAGCCTGACAGAAACAGCAACCATGTGAATTGTTATGGCTTATACACTTTGTGAGGAGGCGAGGTGGTCACACTCGTGCCTGGTTTCCATTCCCAACTGGGTGCCTTTCCGTGTGGAGTTTGTATGTTCTCCCTCTGTTGAGCATGGGTTTTCTCTGGGTTATTCAACCTCCGCCCATAGCGAAAAAATATATTCAATGCATCTTGTATTGTCCAAATAACAATCCAATGCTGAAAAATTACCTACAAATAACTCAAATGGGATTCCACAGCAGCAGTATCGCTCCGTACTGAAAAATATTGGCAAGACTTCTAAAAAGAGTCTAGGGACTTGGTGGTGCTTTCCTGGGTAAACAGTAACAAGTGGAACAGTAATAATCGTAAAATACTAATCATTGTCGTTGTCGTTTGTGTTGGTGAAGAAATCCTGACGCTATTTGGAGATAACCTGACCCCTATCGAGAGGAGTGAACTCTTCACCGTGGACCGTGTCTGGTATTTCGGACTCCACAACAGAGGATTAGGCACCAAAAACCTGGACTACGATGATGCCTATAACCATTACGTCTCGGTAAGACTCCCCACACTACACGCCGGCTTCAGAGTGGGCGACATGGCCCAGCGTGTCCGCTGCCCTGGTTAATACTGTGGCCATCATCACCACCACCACACACATGCACAGGGTTATCAATCACATTCTTGTCAAACAGTAATATCATCATCATCAAGTCCAGTGTCATCAAGCACAGGGTCATTGCTCAAAACATCATCAAGCCCAGTGGCCACCATGGTTAAGACTGGGAGTAAAACACGATGCATCGTCTGCTTGACAGTGGACGTTAAAGATCCCGTTACATCATTCAAAGCGAGTAGGCCATTTTGTCCTGGCGTCAAGGTCCACATTTCAAGTATTACTTGCAAATTACTGAATTGAGGTTACGCGTAGCACCATTGCCCCCCTGCTGTGAAGAACAAACTCCACACGTTCTCTCACTCGCATTGTCACACTCTGCAGAACAGGCAGAGTACATGTACTCTTCTGCTTTGGTTCTTTCGGTAAAGTCACGTAGAATGAGAATAAAATAATACATTCATAAAATAACACAATAATATTCTCACGACGTTTCGGCCACAACACAAGCGGCCTTCATCAGGTGAAGGGACGAGACTGTCTGGAGGACAGCGCTGGAGTGAAAAAGCCACGCTCAGATCACGACCTTTAAGCTGTGAGAAGAAACAAAGCGCCTTGACAAAGGAATTCGCATATAATTTAGCATTGAAATGGCTGAGTGATTAGCTTGTGACTGGTCACAGAAATGGCTATGTTAAAGTTAAAGCATACACATCCACAGAGGCACCCCTTGACAAAGGAATTACCATAGAATTTAGCATCGAAATAGCTAAGTTAAAGTATACACATCCGCAGAGGCACCCCTTGACAAAGGAATTCAGCATTGAATAGCTGAGTGATTAGCTTGTAACTGGTCACAGAAATAGCTATGTTAAAGTCAGAGCATATACATTCACCGAGGCACCTAGTACAGATCAAACAGGAGAATTTAGCATTGAAATAACTAGGCGAATTTAGCATTGAAATAACTGAGTGATTAGCTTGTGACTGGTCACAGAAATGGCTATGTTGAAGTCAAGGCCTACACATCTGAGCTATTCACAGTAACTGGGTATACAATACAATATATAATGAATACTATATAGTGAACCAATAAAAAACTAAAATATAAATTACCTCAATGGTATCAATAAACTCTATATTCTCCAATCAGCTAAGCTACCAACAATAAGTCGTTATATATCACAATGCTATATGGCGAAAAAATGGGTGGATTCTTACCCTCAACTTTAGCAACACGGATAGCTACGGGTCCCGTTCAGACGGACGAGTTCATCCATGGTCGGAACAAAGGAGGGGGAGAGAGACAGCTGCGAGGCGCTGTTATACTCCATGTTGTAAACCATACCATTAACCGTGGTGTGAGAGGTATTAAGAGTCAATGCCAGCGAAAGAGCTGCGGTCTGAAGGTCATCGTAAAATACAATTAATTAAGAACGGAAATGGTTTAAAACATATTTCCAGTGGTTACTAAGCCAGAATCCATCTTCTCGGTTGAAATTGTCTCTGTGCTTGTATATGTGAATGGCCTCATGAACGAATCTCTCATGGTAGCCGGTTGGTTTGCAAAGAACCTCCGTCTTGGAGAAGTCAATGTCATGTGAGCCTACTGAATTATAACAGTGATCTGCCATGGCAGAGGAGTTCGATCTACCGTGTTTCAAGTCTGCTTTATGTTCGCGGATGCGGTCTGAGATATGTCGTTTGGTTTCTCCAATGTAGCTACTACCACAGAGGCACTTTAGTTTGTAAACGCCCGGGTACTGTATGTCTGGAACAGCATCTTTTACAGATGGAACTAGATCACGGATTTTATGTACTGTGTTGAATCGGACCTGGATCTTGTGTTTATTCAGGATTTTGGAGATCTTTTTAGTGACCCATGCAATGTAGGGTAAGGTGATGGTTTTGAGTGGCTCCACAAGAGGATCCTTCTTCATGACTGGAGTGATGGCTTTGCGGATTGTGTAGTCGGAGTAACCATTAGCCCTGAGAGCCTGGTGTACGTGCTTGAGTTCACTGGTAATGTGTTCCTGGTCGGAAATGCATTGGGCTCTATGGTATACAGTCTTGATGAGGGAGTTCTTCTGGGATGGATGTGGTGGGAATCCGGTTTCAAGTAAGCATCTGTATGGGTAGCTTTCCTGTAGACAGAGTGGCTCATTGAACCATCATGTCTCCTTTTAATTAAGACATCCAAAAAGGGTAGTTTGCCATCTTTTCACTCCAGCGCTGTCCTCCAGACAGTCTCGTCCCTTCACCTGATGAAGGCCGCTTGTGTTGTGGCCGAAACGTCGTGAAAATATTGTTATTTTATTTTATCAATTTATAATTTTATTCTCATTCTACGTGACTTTACCGAAAGAACCAAAGAAGATGAATCCTTGCAGTCACGAAAGCTTTAAATTGAAATTACATGTACTCTATTCAGAAAGGCACTCAAGATGGGAATTGAACCCAGCCCATTGTTGCTGTGAGCCACAATTGTTAGCATCGCCACCAGCCTTTAGCCAAAATGGGATCTGACACTCAGTTACCTAGCACAGCAGACGAGAGCGCATCAAGTCTCATTCTTCATCATTTACTAGAATTGACAGAGCTCTTGGCGCTGCATGAATTATGTCTCTGTTGTCTTTGTGTAACAAGAACTGAATCAGCAGTGATGGAATGAGCGTGGATTGAATCGGTTCTTATGGTGCGATTGTTGTGTAGGTCCAATACGAGCATCTAAATTTCCGCTACGAGGTGCTGGAATGGTTGGTGCTCAAAGGTCAAAGCCAGCTCTTCAGATGCCGAGACCACAAGACCAATACCATGGTGAACGTGAAGATGTGGAGGCAGCCAACGAGGTAAGTCTTCACAATGGGAAGTGCGATTTTGAGGCTGATATTATTAACCCTGGATTGCCAGAGGAAAGCAGTACAAGAAGTGAGTTGATTTCCATTTATATGGGGATAGTGTTACCCCCCCCCCCGCCAATGTGAACGCACGGGTTTTCTCCTAGTGCTCTGGTTTCCTCCCTTGTTTCAACAAGAATGTTGCCGAAATCATCTTAAAATATGGAGAACCGCAGATCTTGGGAAAATGTTGGTAGCACCAGCTAACCACCTGTATGTACGTTGAACTTTTGACTTAAAGCTTTCGTGACTGCAGGAATTCATATTCTTGGGTCTTTCGGCAAAGTCACGTAGGTTAGGTTATTTTCTTTGAACCTATCTATGCGACTTTACCGAAAGACCCCAGAATACATTGAACTTTGTTCGCACCGTATGTAGCCAACCGTGCTGCTGCATTCCAGGTTGTCTGTGGTTCCGAGCACCTCCAAGTCATTCTTTCTTCAGAGAGCGAGCAACAAAATGTGTACATTACACGTCAATTATTTTTGCTGTTAATATGAAGTTGTGGATTTCCTCTGTGCAGCCCCCAGGATAACCACATGCAGGCGATGGAGCTCAAGATCTTTTTCAGACTTCAGGAACTGGCCAATGATTTCAATGTAAAACTCCTGGACCATTTTTACTTCAGAGGGCACAACTGCCTCGTCCTGGAGGACTTATGCAAGTACGTACCGCGCAGTCTGTTCGGGCCATGGATCTGATGATCTCACGCCACCACGTGTTTGATAATACTGTGAAGCTGCCACGTGTCTAGGACACGTTGAACTGGCAGCCCCACCACTCCCGTTTCTCTATCAAACCCGCCCACTCTTACACGGTCAGGCCCACTCAACCGGCAGGGTGTCGGCAGAGTGTTTACGCTTGCACCTCACGGCAAGAAGCACCTGGGTTCAATTCCTGACTGTTGTCTTTCTGTGTGAAGTTTGTTTGTCCTCCCTCTGTTCCACAGAGATTGTGTGTGTGTTTTACAAGAGTGTGAGTTTGGGGTTTGTATTCTCTCCCCCTGTTCTACATGAGTTCCTTCGGGTTCTGCGGTTTCCTTCCATAGCTAAAAAAAACCCCACAAGTAACCTGTATTTGACCAAACATCTCAATGCTAATATATTACCTTCATATTACCCAATTGAGGTTAAAAACACAGCAACACCTGAAAAGGTTTTGAGACTTTGAGAGCATTTCTTGGGTAAATAAGCATAATAAACGATGATTATGAATTGACTCAGCCTTTCACAGGATGGCACTGACTCTATGTTGTTGTTGTTGTTGTTGTCTCTTTTGCAGTCCAAGTGTCTCCCATTCTATTAAATCGATGAAATCCCAGCGAGACGTGATGGTGATAGTGCAACTAATCACCAAGTCCATTCTCAGAATCCTGATCCAGCTCCACACCAAGGGCATTGTGCATGGGAACATCAAGCCGGTGAGTGGACTCCGCATTCAGTGCAACTCCACCGTGATGTCGCATCGCTATTGGGGACTGGGCCTGGAGAAAACTGGACGCGTTGATCAATGCGTTGCTCTGAACGTGGAGACACAAACCAGTGCAAGTAAAAAGGACTGTTTGCAAACATGCAGACACACTTATAAATCCCGACAGCCACCCATCAGCTTCTACGCTGCTCCTAAAAACCTTTGGAATACAAACGCGCGTGAGGATGCATTACCAACACCATCCTTGTGCACGTTTTTTTCCTAAAACGTTCACTAACTGCTAGGAGCTTCGCTTGGGTTTCCTTTAACAATCGTGATTCACGTTTGATAAGAGCACTCTCCTTGACACCGGGGTGTCTCAGAGCACTTTACACGACATGTACGGTGCAAAAGAAGTTCAACATACATACGTATATTTGAATGGGCACCCCCAGTGGCAGCCGTCAGAAAACATTCCATATTGTTATTTCGACTCCCTTTTGAATGTTTTGCGGTATTTTGGTACACGACCAATCTACTGCTAGCTGAATGCTGATTAGTCGGGCAATGGAGATGCTTGCCTACAATCTAGCACTGAGCTGTGGGTTGGTGGTTTTCTCCTACATGTACGGTATAAACCAGGGGTGGGGAATGTCCGGCCCGCGGGCCGTATAAGGCCCGCGAAATCATTTGTTGTGGCCTTGCCAAGGCAACCGCAGGCGGGACTCGAAATTCAATAAATCTAGGAGCTAACCTGGAAAAGCAGTTGCGAGTAGCAAAATCATCAATACCAGCCAACATCACACGCCTCACAAAAGAGAAGCAGTTCCAGCCATCACACTATGGGTGAGTTAATTCAATGTTTGACCAAATATAACAGGCTAATTTTTAAGTTGATAATTTTGTATGGCCCGCGAATGATGTTATAAATATCTAAATGGCCCTTGGCAGAAATAAGGTTCCCCGCCCCTGGTATAAACACTCATTGAATGCCCGATAACACCTTCATATACAGAGGACTGCAGACCTTGGGGGGACTTTGCCACCAGCTCAGTGCCTGGCTGCTGCCTTCCCAATTGTTTGTGGATCCTCCCGCTTCTGAATCGTCCCATCTCTTCAAGACGAAAGGAATAGTGTGGTGTTTTACAAGTTGAAATTGTTATTATTTTAACCTTCGAGTGTGAATGCCTTCTGCCGCCCTTCTAGAAGAACTTGTCATTCAAGGACGCCCTGGCAGGAACCATCCGCATCAAAAACGTAGAGAGCAGTTTTTTTCCCGGATGTCAATGTGAGTCGTGTGTGAGAGTTTGTGCGCGAGTGTGTTGTGTGTGAGTAAGAGTTTGTGTGTGAGGAGCGGTAGTGCGCTGCTTTACAAATCCGGAAACCTGAGCTCAATTCCCGCTCATGGCCAACACCAGTGACAATTATCTCCACCGGCCCTGGGCCTCCCCTAGGTCGACTCAGCCTTAAATGAGTACCTGGTGCAATGAGTAAACGTCGCCACTTGAGAAACAAGGAGGAGGTTCTTGAAAGACGCGACTTGGCAGTTAAGAGGCAGTCGCTTGCCAGCAACAGCAGGGGGTAGTGGAGCGACACTCACAACAAGTGGAGCGTCAGGTGGCTATAATACAGCAAGGTGGCACAGTAGGGGGCACAGGTGGTGAATATGCCTGTCATCTCAGTCAGTCAACCAATGGAACCTGGGTCTGTCCTGTGACTTGCCAATGAGCCTTCAACACTTCACGTAGCCTCAATGGGCACATAGCCGAGCACAAGCGCTGTGGTGACATCACCAATACTTCGTGGCAAATGGACAACATTCGTGAAAAAGAGCCGCACAGTTAATTGGATTTCTCCAAGATAAAGATTCTGATTCTGGTTGTGCATATCACTGTGCGTGTAATGATCATGCCATTCAAGGCTATATCGGTGATCTTTGTCGTTTGTTCTATGCAGGTTCACAGATTTTTGGTACTCGTGCATACCTTGCCCCAGAGGCTTTCCTGGGACACGCGGCCTCGTTCCCGGTTGACATGTGGGCGCTGGGCTGTACGGTGGCCGAGTTGGTTACTGGGAGCGTCCTGTTTCCGGCCGTCGGCCGGTATGACCAACTTCCATGTTACATGGAGGTACAGTATTCCCACATTGCAGTTTCACTATACGATGCCTTTTTATTTGTGGGCTAGGCCACAGAATGACCTGGCCAAATCTTGTAAGCCTCCACCACCCAACATGGTCAAACAAAATGGATTGCTGGCGGTACGAGCGTTTATCGCAGTAATTATTATTGGTCCAGCTTAACCGATGGTGAGTTGGAGGACAATTCTCATCACCACATTCATCAATTAGATGTTTTTGCTTGAAACGATGTCAAGCATGTTCGGGATCATGATGTCTGCGCACAATGGCTTACTTGTTTCAAATAACATCAAGGGACCTTTCGCGCCCATTTTATGGTGAATACCGGAGTAATAACCAGGGCGGCCACTGGGTGTGAACTGCCCTTGCTGGGACATGCCATGAACACTGCCCTCTGCCTGTGTGTGGACTATTGGGAGTGATAGTCTAGTGGTTTGCGCACTGCTCTACAAACCCGGATGCCCGAGTTCGATTCCCGCTTGCGGCGAACATTGGTGATGAATATCTGAACCGGTCTTCTCCTAGGTCGCCTTAAATAAGTAACCGTTGCGGTGTGTAAAGTTGCTGGTGTGGATTTGTGTGCCATGTACCGTCATTAAAAGTTGCTCGCTAACAGCACTTGCTATGACAATCTATTAATGCTATATGGGTGATCTTTGTCTGTGTGATTTGTGTATAGGTCCTGGGAATGCCTCCTGAGAGTCTGGTGAATGCCGCGCCCGAGAGGAACAAATACTTTGGTGAGTGAGGGGTTGAGGGGGTGATGGGGTGAGGGGGTGATGGGGTGAGCGGGTGAGGGGGCGAGTGGAGGGACTGGGTTCAATTTGAGGGGAGCCTGGGGCTGTTCTTGTTTAATGGGGTATCACTTTCTAACTTAAATTACTTCCATGTGTTATGTCACAGCCGATATAATACATAATAGATTTTTGTGTTAGGGTTAGGCCACGTAATGGTCTGGCCTAGTTTGTGTCGTTACGACCCTCCACCAGCCAACAGGCAAACAAATTGCTGCTGCTGTGTGTGATGCCAATTGAATAATTTTCAAATTGGACGAAGGCACCGGCACACAATGGCCTAAATTTATAATGACACAAGATCTTTAATGTTCCACTGCGAAACAATCTGGCGCACTGCGGTTTACGGTGAATACGGATATAACGAGGGAGGCTAGGATTCGAATCGCGAAGCTCTGCAACGAGCGGTGAACGCGCAACTGCCGGTCCACGTCATGTTTCTACGCTGCGAGTGTGCAAGGGCGGAGTGCGTTGTGACTAGGTTTCTCCTATTCCGCACGGTTCCTGCAGACCCTTTGGGCAGTCCTGTGATGTCCGGACAAGACAGGGTACCGGGCAGTAACCCAATCAGCGTGGCCCTCGGGAGTCAGGACACGGAGTTCAACGACTTCATCAGCCGCTGCTTGGAGTAAGAGCCCCACCAACCCCCCGGACGAGGAATTCCCCATCGGCCAATCCCCTCCAAGCGATCAGCGATCGGAGGATGTCTCATTATTGCATGATCCATAGACTTACGTAGAGACCCATAGACTCACATACACTTACATAGAGATGCGTACATGTACATACACTTACACAGAGACCCATAGATGTGCATGCACTTACACAGAGACCCATAGATGTACATACACTTACATAAAATAACTATAGACATATGTGGACTTACACGAACCATACCCTGACGTCGTGTGTGTGGAGGAGGCCCGTGTAAGGTATTACTAGGCAGCGCCGGGCTACACGCACTCTGAGGCTACTCAGCGGTTGGAAGCAGTCACCCTCCAACAACAACGGAGGGTGGAGGAGCGATGCTCACAATGAGCGGAGCGCTGGGTGGATTAAATTCAGTGAGGTGGCACAATGGGGAGCACAGGAGATGCACCTGCCAGTCATCCCAGCAGCAGATGGTTAACGACGACGACGACGATGATGACGATTGCTAAAAGTGGAGGACAGCTGCTGTCCACTATAAGTTTATGGATAGGGGGAGACGCACGTGAACCCTGAAATCATAATCACCCTTGCCTCGTGCGCCATGTGTGCCCCCGTCTTGCCAGATGGGATCCGGCTCTGCGCATGACGCCTGTCGAGGCGCTGGCGCACCCTTGGCTGGGAAGGACGCCACCGGACGAGAGAGTGCCCAGGCAGCCAGCGGCGTCCACCCAGGAGGATGAGACGCAACAGGACGGGTCGGTGGAGCAGCACGGGCCTGGGCCCCAAGGTGGGCCCCAGGTTGAGCAGCACGGGCTTGGGGCCCAAGCTGGGCCCCAGGTGGAGCAGCACGAGCCTGGGCTCCAAGTGGAGCAGCACGGGCCTAGGCCCCAAGCTGGGCCCCAGGCGGAGCAGCATGTGTCTGGGCCCCAAGCTGGGCCCCAGGCGGAGCAACATGGGCCTGGGCCCCAAGCTGGGCCCCAGGCGGAGCAGCACGGGCCTGGGCTCCAGGTTGAGCAGCACGGGCCTGGGCCCCAGGATGGGAGCCAGGTGGAGCAGCATGGACCTGGGCCCAAAGCTGGGCCCCAGGTGGAGCAGCATGGGCCTGGGCCCCTGGATGGGAGCCAGGTGGAGCAGCACGAGCCTGGGTCCCAGGCGGAGCAGCACGGGCCTGGGCTCCAGGTTGAGCAGCACGGGCCTGGGCCCCAGGATGGGAGCCAGGTGGAGCAGCATGGACCTGGGCCCCAAGCTGGGCCCCAGGTGGAGCAGCATGGGCCTGGGCCCCTGGATGGGAGCCAGGTGGAGCAGCACGAGCCTGGGTCCCAGGTGGAGCAGCACGAGCCTGGGCTCCAGCGGGCAGAGGAGGAGAAGAAGAGCGAGGAGGAGAAGAGTGAGGAGGAGAATCGGGAGCAGAAGAATGGGGAGGAGGAGAATAGGAAGAAGAAGCACGTGTCCCTGGGTAGAGCGTGCAGAGTGGTCCGCTCAATTTTCCGCGCCCTCTTCTACTGCGGTGATTCACCCACCGCAGAATAGTGGGGGAACTAAGTGTGGTAATGTCGTGTGATGGGATCAACATTGCCACCATCACACATTCACCACACACCACCCACCACACATGCACACACTCACCATACACCACACAAACATGCACACATTCATCACACATAAGCACACACACATACCATACACCAGACAAACATGCACACATTCATCACACATAAGCACAAACATACTCACCATACACCACACACTACACACATGCACACACTCACCACATGTAAGCACACACACACACATGCACACATTCACCAACCACACACACCACACACTCACCACACACCAACCACACATGCACACACCACACACATGCACACATTCATCACACATAAGCACACACTCACCACACACCAACCACACATGCACACACTCACCAAACACCACACACTCACCACACACACCGCACATGCACACACTCACCAAACACCACCCACACTCACCGCACATACACCCACACACCGATCCAGCCTCTCACAGACTTGTGGAAAATGACAATATTTACACATCACCCAAAGTACTGTACTTATTTGAGGCTGAGTCGACCGAGGGGAGGCCCAGCACTGCTCCAGACAATCGTCTCTGGTGTTGGCCGTGAGCGGGATTCGGACTCTAGCCGCTCCACACCGCCCTCCCTACACACACACACTACATGCACATTCGTGTAGCCAGCCCCACCCTGGGCTCTTCCATGCTGGTTTTCTTCCAGGCAGTCCTCAGAGGATGACCTCGCCATGGTTTCCAGGTCATGGAAGAGGATAGCCGCGCCAGGGTGTGAGAGCTGAGGTGGCCTGATGTAGGATCAACCTGATTACTTTTTTTGTAAATATTCACGTTGTTGTAAACCGTATAATAAAAACACTAAAATATGAACATGCATTTATGAAATCAATTCAAAGTGGTGTGTCGTGCAACTCGGAGTGAATGTGAGCGGAGACAGGGCGTTTCATGACAGGGTAGATCGGGAATACCGTTGTGAGACTTGCCTCATATTATTGGTTCTTTCGGTAAAGTCACAAACATTGCATTGCTGATGAGACTTACCTCGTCAGCAATGCACTTTGACTCACTGGGGAGGAGAATGGTGGCCCCGATGATGATTTCGTCGTCATCTTTGTCGTCACTGCCATGGACTTTCTACGGCCCTCGTGCTCGACCAACTCGGTCACCCGATGTGTCCACCACGGCGCGTTGCACGCATCCTGTCGTGCGGTTTCCATGTCTGGTCCCACAGTGGTGTTTCTCTTCTCAGCGCCTTTATTGAGTGGCCAAGAAGCTCGATCAGCAGCACAAAAACGCAGCCTCGATGCCTCACGCATCGCCGTGGTCAGGATGGCGGCTCCCGCGCCTGTGATGTGCACACGCGGGCAGAGTCAACCGCTAGGCGACGCACACTCACTCACTCTCGAGGTTGATGAAGTTAGAATCCCACATCCTACACGAATACAAATGTATTGTCTCCCGGGGCGGTGGAGACAATATGAGGGGTGCCACCACCATCAAGCCCTGTGTCAACAATCACAGCGTCATCACGCGCGATCATTAATCAATATCAAGCCCAGCAGCAGCAGCCCTGGTTAATACTGCGATATGTACTCATCGTAAACTACCGCACAGTAAATACCACAACCTACGTCTCCCCCCCTCCCCCCCTTATGAACACCGCCACCTGATTTACGTCGTCTAAACCCGCACCTCTGTCGCTGACGGCATCGTTCTCTCTCTCTCGTATCCGCCGCCTCAGCAATCTACCCTGGAAATTGCTTTGATTTGCCTCGTTTCCATATTCGTCGTCGCACCTTTCGGGAACGCGTCCCCGACGCTAACCACGACGGGAGACGAGCACGGCTGGCGACGTTCAACATAGGTGCAGTTCAACGCTGTGCGTTGTGCGTTGAACTGCTTGCTGACCCGGATCTCTACTCCTTTGAGGAGGGCCCTGATTCGTTTTTACAGTAGGGCCTGATAATAACCACTACGCATTTCCCAATTAAGTAAATTTGCGAGTAACTTTTAAAAAGTTGGCACGAAATCCTTGACTTGCTCCATGGACAGTGTCCAGGGTTTATTCAGTCTCGTGTTTTTCATGGATGTTTGGGACTCCTCTTATCCGCGGCAGCTGGAGGGTCCGGGAAAACTGTTTTCCCAAAGCTCTCTTCCCATTATCCACGAATTTTAACCAAAATGCATCGTGAAGCGGCGTCCTCAAACTCGCGGGGTTTTCCCGGACAGAGGCGTAAGGCGGCAAATTCGTCGTCCTCTTACCCACGGAGTCATCTGCAAAATGAGTCGCGGATAACCCCGCAAATTGGATCTGAGATGTGGGTCGTCTCCCCATATCACCGCAGAGGAGTTCTGTAATTATTCACATTAAAGTTTACAGTCCTTCACGGGTAAAAACTCCACATTCCTATGACGAGGGCGCCTCCCTGCACAGGATAACCACAGTTGATTTCCGAACACACCGGCACTTTTTTATATTGATAGAAGGTAGCGCCGACGCGACTCCAAACAACGCATCACAAGCGGTGCCCAGCGCGGTGCATCCACGACACGCCCCTGTGGGCGTGACGTCATCAAGAAAGTCCTGCCGAGTGACGTCACGGCGACCAGGAAGCGGCGTGAGACGAGGGGAGACACCGGGAGACGAGGCACGGGGAGAGGAGGAGAGGCACGGGGAGAGGCACGGGGAGAGGAGGAGAGGCACGGGAAGAGGAGGAGAGGCACGGGGAGACGAAGCGAGAGGCACGGGGAGACGAAGAGGGGGATGCAGCATCAGGCGCCGCTGCCGCCAGGATGGGAGATGAAGATGGAGCCCACCTCGGGGTGGCCATACTTCATCAACCACAACGAGCAGTCCACCACGTGGAGCGACCCCCGGGTAACGGCCACAACTACCACGCAGCCGCCACCACACCACAGCGATCACCACCACATCACTCGCGCGGGTACAACCACCACACGGCGGACACGACAAGATGCGCACTCACCAGCACTCAGGAGCCAGGCGGGCCGGCATCTGTAGCCACTGACGACTCCTGTTGAAGATGAAACCACTCGGCCCTCCTGGCGGGCCCGGCTGTGAACCAACACCGTGGGTGGCGGCCTTGCTGCCCCTGGGCGCTGCCGAGGGGAGCAGCGCGGTGCCCGTGGGGAACCTCGTCGGCAACGTCACGGGATGAGAGGTGGTGAGGAGGAGGGGGGGTGCGCAGTGGTTGTCACGGCTGATGTCCGTGGCTAGTGATATCCGAACCAGTCCCGCCCTCCCACTTCTCCAACCCACACTGGCCACGGGTGGTGAAGTATGGTCAAAGGCACCCATGACAGATGCGGCGAGCGGGGTGGGGGAGGCATCCAAGGATTTTTAACTTCCGTTCCGCGGCCACGTCCCACGAATGGGGGTGGTTTGTGGTATTATGGCCACAGGACGATACGAGGCCATTCTGGGTGGAGACGACACGAATGTAATTGTTCGCTGCTGCTGCTGAAGGCGCATCGGTGCCTCTGGCCGTGATCCCCGGGCGAGCGCGGCACGGGACTCGCAGTGAGCGCGCGTGACCTCAGTCGCTGGGTTTGGTGACACTGGCAGGGTGGAGGAGGTGCCCAGGCGCAACGGCAGAACCGCAGTCGACGATAGCTCTGTTGACGATGCCCGGATTGCTGCCACTGCTCGGGGCAAGGGACCCCACTCCCAGCAGGAGTCGCGAGGTTTTGGAGGCGCTCGCGACGCCGCGAGCGGTGGCGAGGAGGAGGCCGGGACGCGGTCGCCATCGGAGCCAGGCGCCTGGCACACGGAGAGCCAAGGCTAAGCTCGGCTTAGAGAATTCATTTTTAGCGCAAACTGCCCTCGGCTAATTGAGGCTCCACGGCACGTGACCACAATGGCACTGGAGGGACTGAGGCCACCGAGAGTCGTTTACTTTGACGGGGCGTGCGTTTATAGCGCAAACGTCAAGCAACAACAGAGCTCCGCTGAAGGATGATTTAGGCACAGGCATGTCGCGCGTTGTTTATGTACAGTACTCTCCAGTATTCCCACTGCCCTCACTACACTCGCACGACTCCACACCCCATAACGCCTGTTACGCTGTCCCTTATATCAGTGCACAGGCAGGCATAGTGGTGTTCCACCACGTGTTCAGGTTTATAAACAAATGAGCACTGCCTCAATGCTTGTTAACTTTTAATGGAGGCTATGGGACATGAAATACACGCGTTAGTTGTCACAGGAGAAACACTCACTAGGCGCCTTAGGACATTAGAGGGATGCGCCTTACAATTAAATGTACATTAGTATTAAGCGGTGCTTGTGGAAAGGTTTGTCGCTAACACCAGGCAACCCAGCAGCAGTGCTGTGCTTAACAGGCCACACGTTACTGATGAAACTTGGCAGTTAAACCCAGTCCAAAATAAATATTGCTGGAAGGCATTGGTTGAGAAAGCCATAGGCCTCGGAAGTGCAAGGTTACGTTATCGTGACTCGGTGAGATGGTGCCGATGGCACCGAATTCACCATGCGGTCACTCCAATCCAGGAGGACGGAGACAGTGCGCTTCACCTTCCGTTCATACAAAAAACAAGGATATTAAAATCAAGAACATCGTAAATTATTGTAATATTTTATGATGTAATATATAATGTAAAAATTCCCTTTTTTATGACGTGTTTTTACATTGGACCATGGTCAGGACGCGGTGCCGCCAAGCGCTGTGCACGGCTCCGTCCCCAGCACGAGCGTCCGCTGCCGCCAATAAACAATCGACGGTGGAGTTGGCCGAGCATCCCGATTTTATACCACCGACCTTGGGCAATCGTTGGCTCCGTTTCTAGCAGACAAGCTGCTCGGCTCGATCGTGGTTTCCCACGTCTTCCTTGCGAAGTCTGTGCGTTACAAATTCTACAACCTTTTTGAGATGCAATTTGCATGAATGATGCAAATCACAAATAAAAGTTGTAATATATTCTCTGTTTCTGTTTGCTTCATTTTAGGTTCCTATGGTAGACAATCACAGCCTCGCTGGGCAACAGGGAGCCTTCTACAACGGAGTTTCATACCCACAACAGCAAGCGGCCTTCCACCAGCCGCCTCTTAACCACAACTCCACCCCCTACCCCTCCGGCTCCGCGGTCCACGGACAGCACACGGCCCCCTACTCCGCCGGCCCCGCGGCCCACGGACAAAACGCCACGAACCATGCCAACCAACCGCCGTACTCCATGGGTTACCACGCGGGTCCCCAGCCTGCGCCCGTGCCCAGCGTGGGCCCAACCCCGCACCTCGCACCGACTCAGCCGTCTCCCTACCACCCTTATCCCCACAGCGCGGCGCCCTACACCACCCAGCCCGGGGCGCAGCAGTCTTTGTCGCTCGCGCACGCCGCCTCGCACATCCCTCGGCCGCACGTCGCCCCTTCTTCGCAGGTGGCAGGAGCTGCCCAGGCCCAGGCGTGCCACGTGGTGAGTGCGCGTTCACGCCAGTCGGTTGGCGCCCTCCTTTATGCCACGGTGATGTCAAGTTCAGCGGAGGTTCGGGCTACACTAGGTTTTCACCTTTTTTGAAAGGTCGCCTCCAGCTTATGGCCATTGTGTAATAGTGTACCATCGTGCAGCGTCACGAATTGTCGTGGGTTTATTTTCTAAAAGAATAATCTGCAAGGTGACGTCATGGTGGTGCACGGTCGGTGGAGCCGCCTTGAGATTTTTCCCGGCGCAGATCCGCCGTGACGAACAGCTCACCGCGGTTTCACATGATTCCGCAGGCTGTCTTAGCCCAGAGGTTCAGTTGCCTTGTGCCGTCCGCAGCCCGGCAGGGACGGAGTCAGCGAGGGCTCCGAGCTGCACCGAGCGGCCCGGTACGTCCGCCGACCCGATGACGGGGGCGCCGCTGCCGCCCCGGCGACATGGAGTGGGCCCTCGCGTAGCGCCCAGCCCGTGCTCATCCCGCCCGACGCTCGGCAGCGCGCGGCCCAGCAGCGTGCCGAGGCACTGCCTGGCGTGCGCGAGGTGAATTCCATCATGGCGGTGGTGCGCAGCCTGGAGGCCCAGGTGCGTGCCTTCGAGGGCCGGCGCTCGGACAAGGCCTACCTGGCACTTGAGGAGATGCTGACCAAGGAGGTGCTCAAGCTGGACACGGTGGACACGGGCGGGCATGAGGAAGTGCGGCAGGCTCGCAAGCAGGCCATCCGTGAGGTCCAGGCCATCCTGGAGCACCTGGAGCTCAAGGCCCAGATCTTCGAGGGCTGACGGCCCGTTTTGCAAGCGCATGGTGAGGGGTGCGTGTACGCGGTGGCCATCGGTCGTAGCATGCACTCGCCATGCCGGTGATTTAGTTCAATAACATAATCCCAAATAAGTTATCCAAAGCATGAAAATTTTACCCCAATTACTTCAAAATATACAGGAGACTTTAGAATATCACGGAGGTTACATTCTTGTAAAGTTCCGCAAAAGCCGAAACCGCAATATTCAATACTTAAGCCTTACCTAAATAATGGAGTTAGGTACACGGCAACCAAAAAAAGACGCATCACAATTGAAATAAATACTGTACTTTATGCCCAGTTAACTAAAAACTAAGTAATTGAAATAACACGTAAAAACTCAATTAAAAAAACATTCCTTGTAGTAGTATAAATACTGAATATTGTACTTACCGATGATGATCCACAGCGGGTGTGTTTGTTTGTCCGTGAGTGGGGAGTCGTAGTGCTATGGTTTGCAAGCTGTGCTACGAATCCAGCGACCCGAATTCGATTCTCGGACACACCCAACACCAATGACAATTATCTGAATGGGTTCTGGGCCTCCCCTAGGTCGACTCGGCCTGAAATGAGTACCTGATGCGGTGTGTAAATATTTCCACTGGGGAGACAAAGGCGGCTGGTCGTGGTTCTGGCCACCCACATCCTCGTGTGGTGTGCCGACCTTCATAGGTGCTCGCAAACAGCACTTGCCCCAAGTCTAGGCTATATCAGGGGTCTTCATCTTTGTTTCTCCGCGAGATGGTTGGGCGGCAAAAGTTGAGGTGCTACTGACTGCCTCGCATCCCTCGCCCGCCCCGCACCACGGTATCAGCCAATAACACAGTACTTCCGGGTATAGTGTACCCGAAAAATGCCAAAACGAACCCCCACGATAGCTAAATTGGTGCAGAGGTTGCCCGTGCTAGGTGGAAATCGTGAACAATAAACCCACGATATTCAAGGGTCACCTTTATTGGATAAGTACATTTGTGCAGCCAATATTTTGGATCTTTGGAGAAACTGGGCAAGTCACTGGCTGAGAATTTCCGTCGCCTTCGCGAGTGACAAGTTTGGGCCGTGCTGATGGTGGGGTCTAAGGCGTACCCGCGGGCTCTTTCCCCCGCCCTAAATTCACACGATCGTACGGTTACCTTGTAGATGCACACAGCTGACGCAGTTTGGAGTTGCGTGGGATTGCAGATGGGTCATATGTCTTTGTACAATTCCTGTTAAATTTTGCGCTGTTCTGAACTGTAAGGATCTGGATCCTCGGCAGCTGTGGTCACGACGGAATGTGGAGCTGGGGGGATTCGCAAACGCTGTTGTGGCATTGTACTTCTGTTAAATACCCTCTATCTTTTTGTGTTTATGCAACATTGTGTTCCTCTTTAGATATATGCACATTGCCTTACTTTGACAAATTAGCAGTTCAAAATCATTTTAACTATTTCTTTTCCAATAAAGCTTTAGTCTGTACTATTCTACACTTGGCTTGTTTCACAGTCCATGCTTCACGTGAGGATTGTGACGATGTTGTTCTCTACACACGGGGGAGATCTCCTGGCTCACGAGACTCGTTTGGAGAGATTATGATCCTCGCAGTGCTGCGGGGATGAGTGCGACTGCTATTCTAGAAGCTGCAGTCAATTCCACAAATCCCACGATACCACCCCGCCTCGGAATAGAATTCCATCTGAGAATCTAACCGGGATTCTGGACTTGACTTGTAAATGCTGAGCTCTAATATGCATGTACAGACCTCTTTACAGGATGAGGGCGTCCCCACACGTCGGTTATTTTACCACACTGGACCATGCCCGTAAGTGTGGCTGAGTGAAGGCAGTGAAGGAGAGACGTCCAAGCTTGGTGCATTATAATGCATGTTGCTGCACTGCCGTCTGCCGACATCGCTTCCCGCCCCTTCACTTCCAAGTTGATGACTTCTTCAGCCGCGTTATGCGTCGCTCTCATCGGGAAGAGGTCTTTCGTTTGTTTCCGAAGAGTTATGTAGATCCAGGATGTCCCACAGCTTGGACATAATTTCCACGAACCACTTCTTGAAAGCGTTAGATGGGGCAGGGATCGGACGGCAGCCTCCGATAGCAACCGCGCCGCAAGGGTGAGAATGCAAGGCGGGTGGGTGAGGTGACGCAGCAGGCTGTGTCAAAAGCGGTAAGTGAGCGACAAGAAGGGGTTTGGCAGCGAAGACGCGAAAGGAAAGGACGCAGTGGGCGTGGGAAGGCATGGGAACCTGAGAGAGCGGGAGACGAGGGACATTGCGACATTGGCACGCGTTAACTTTGCAGTTAACTCGTGGCAAACTGTGCAGTCGTGTTTTTAAACTGAAAATTGCACGTAATTGCAAACTGTATGCGTACCAAGAATTGCAAACTCAGAAAGTTTATATAAAATTTGCAGTTATTACATTTAAAAGAGTGCTACATTAAAATGAATGAATTAGTTAAAAAGCTGTCGACTATAGGTACATGTAACAAAATATCAGAGCCACAAGCCATCGGTGACCATTCGATTCCTCCCCATCAAAGCCGCCTCGTCCCCTCGTTCAATAGCAAACGTCCCTTCTCTGAACATCAGCTCATTGCTCCCACTGTGTTAGCATTGACACATGCATATTAAATACCCAACCCACGCCAACACACTTATTAGTGTTGGACGTTTATACCAAAATACAAAACCGAAACCAGTTATTTCTGATCACGCAGAACTCTTAACTCTGGAAATCATCGCAAACACTTGAACAATGCAGCTGCTGCACGGAGCACATGAGCCCACACATTGCACCCACGCACCAGTTTAAAACCGCATGCGCAGCGCTGAATGGCCAGGCTTCTTTGGGGCCGGCACACAGCGCTCCCTTCTCCACTCATCTGCAACCATTCTCCACTCAAACCCTAGGGCCCAAGGTCACTAATCGCCTCATACTCCTGTGATTCCCTGGGTGGCTCGCAGTCAGATTTGTGAGTCGATAAAATGAGTTGGGAAGTCAACAGTGGGTGTTCTGTGGATATACTTATTCCTGGGGTCATAGGAATGTGATATTTCCACCGCTGGCTCCATGCTGTGAATAGATGAGCACCCCCTCAATGCTCACATGAGCCAGAGATTGCTACTTTGAGGTTGGTTTGAGGGAGACACTCGTGCAGACGCTGGCAGTGGAGGCGGCGGAGCTGCGTGGAGACGCTGGTGTGATGGTAGGGCCCGTGTCGCGAGCGAGGAGTGCGGGGTCTGTGCGGGTGAACGCGGAGGGCTGTGGGTAAATGGGGGGGGGGGGGAGCTGCGTGGGTGAACGCGAGGGTGGGAGGAGGTACTGTCAGTCGGAGTCTCCCTCTCCGTCCCCGAGCCCGAGTCGGCCCAGGCGCCGCTCCTCGTGCCGGAACACCTCGAACTTCCTTGCGAGCTGCCCGCGCAGGTACTCGTAGTCACATACGTCCAGGCCGTGCACGGTGGCCAGGTACGCGGACGCGAGGAGCGAGAGCAGCGCCCGCTCGGCGCTCATGCGCGGCACCACCCACAGCACGAGCAGCGCCTCCACGAACACGGGCACACGCATGTGCCCATAGAGGCGCTGGGCGCGCCGAGACTTGAGCAGCATTGGCTCGCCCAGCCCCATCACCTCATAGTACATCTGCGGGCAGCGCCGGGAGAAAAGGCACAGCCATGCGCACGTGGACTCGGTTAGCGCCGACACCATCACTCGCAGTGTCTGGGCCCGGTAAAACGCAGCCTCTCAAATCCCCATTCACCAATTGAAGGTTTTGTACATAGCTGCTGATTTGAGCAACGTCTGAACTGTGAGCAATGTATCACTGGCACAGTTGATAACTTGTGTTCAGGGTGTGTGTTCAGGGTGAGTGCGTGCCGGGTGTGCATGTATATCGTATTTGTGCAGGGTACGCGTGTGTGTATGGTATGTGTCCAGGGTGTGGATCCACGTGTATAGGGGAGCGTGTGTGTAGGTGTTGTGTGGCCACGTGTTTGGTTGTGTGCTGGTTGTGACTGTGCGTGCGGGCATTGTTACTCCGCGAGGCGCTGGTGTGCGTGGCGAGGCGGGCACCTGCTTGATTCCCATCAGCTCGGGGAAGTCGAAGATGATGGCGATGCTCAGTATTACGAGCCAGCTGAGCACGTGCACCAGGAAGCACATGCTGTGCGCCAGCTCGCCGCGCACGCTCCACAGCGGGGGCAGGGCCCTCCCCGGCTCCCACAGGTGGATGAGCAGCTGCGGGGGCACGGTCGGAGACGCACGCACGCACGGCCACGCTCGCCTCCACGGCGCGGGAGCCTCGCGCTCGCAACCTCTCCCGGAGGGTCCTGCCGCCGATGTATGACCACAAGCCTCGTTATCTTACAGGAGAGGAAACGGTGGCACCGCACTAAAGAAGTACAGGAAGGAAAGCAATCCGCTCGCTGTACTGTAATGCACTGGCCACCTGTAGGCCGTACAGATTGGAAGTATCACGATTAAATCAGGGATAGACAGCGTGGGAGTATGAGAGGCAGCCGTGAGGTCTGAGTGGTGGTGCTGTCACTGTGTATGGGTGGTAGTGGTGCTGTCACCCTGCTTTTGGCTTCACCTGCACCGTGACGGCCGTGCAGATGACGTGCACGGCGCGCCGACACACGCCGCAGGTGGCCGCGAGGGCGCGCTGGGCCCATGGTGCCGCCATAGCGCGGTGCAGCAGCAGAAAGGAGACGGCGAGGCCCAGGTCGAAGAGCAGAGGCCAGAGCGAGTCGATCCCCCAGCAAACATCTCGCCAGCGCAGGGCGTCCACGTCGCCGTCTGCGGCACAGAGAGCAACGCTCCACACCAACACGGCACCGCCACACGCGAGCAACAGGTCGCTGCTATGGCACCGAGGCCACCGCACCTCGCCATCGCTGCACGCTCCCGTCCGGCTCTGCGCCTTTCCGCTTGGCCGCCGGCTTCTTGGCGCCCCTGCATTGCACACACGTCCCTGACACCCATCTCAACCTACTCTTTCCGATAATTAAAAGTTGGATGAAGAACATTCACAACTTTATTTCGTGTTCTGCGTACACCTGTATTTAAATGCCAACACCTTTCTCAAGTTTCTTAGTTATAGCAGTTCGTGTAGTCCATTAAAAACCTATCAACGTCACAGCTCTCCATCTCTTCCTCACAGGCTGCTGTGTTAAAACAAATTGCTCAGCACAAACATCTCTCAGCTCACTCCACATTCTCTGGCGGCTGGCTCCTGGGTTAGCTGCACTATTCGTAACCACTGACGTCCACTTTGATTATGGAAGCCCAAGGGAGAAGAACCCCCGTGTCCAGCATCAGTGCCCACAGCTGCCAAGTGCTGCGGTGGCCGTCCTGACATCGCTCCCAACTTGCATTGCAGCTCAGCCACTCAACGTGATCCCTGTGCTTCGCTGTGGCTTGCGGCAACCAGTCAAGCAAGACAGCATAACGGAGCGTAGCAAACCACCACTCACCAGCACACACCAGAGCTACTCACCAGCACACACCACAGCAACTCACCACACATACACACACCATAGCAACTCACCACACACACCACAGCTACTTACCACTCACCAGCAAACACTACAGCAACTCACCACACACCCCAGAGCTACTCACTACTCACCACGCACACTACAGCAACTCACCACACACACTACAGCTACTCACCACTCACCACACACACTACAGCAACTCACCACACACACTGCAGCTACTCACCAGCACACACACCAGAGCTACTCACCACACACACCACAGCTACTTACCACTCACCAGCACACACTACAGCAACTCACCACACACTACAGCAACTCACCACACACACTACAGCAACTCACCACACACACTACAGCAACTCACCACACACACTACAGCTACTCACCAGCACACACACTACAGCTACTCACCAGCACACACACTACAGCTACTCACCAGCACACACACCAGAACTACTCACCAGCACACATCACAGCAACTCACCACACACACCACAGCTACTTACCACTCACCAGCACACTACAGCAACTCACCACACACCAGAGCTATCCACCACTCACCAGCACACATTAGAGCAACTCATCACACACACGAGCGACTCGCCCAAAGCAACTCCACCATACACACGATAGCAACTCACCACTCCACGCACACCACAGAAACGCACCATAGCATTTTACCAAACACACCACAAACTCACCAAACATACCATAGCATCTCACCACCATAGCAACTCACCACTCCCCGCACACACCAGAGCAACTCACCACTCACGACACAAAGTCACCAACATGCACAAGAGCAACCCCCCACTCCGCGGCTCCTCTCACCCGCGCTGGGGATGCTGTTGGTGTTGGGGGGCCCCGTGTAGAGGAACCGCGCGAGGCTCCCGCACGCCGCCAGTCCCAGCAGCAGCGACGCGGAGCCCGCGGCCACGAACAGCGGCAGCGCGGCGGCATTCCGCGGTGCCATCACCACCACTCACCACTACCACCACCACCACAGAGCGCGGCCTCACTCACCCCTCACCACCACCCTCACCACCACCCTCACTCACCACCACCCCTCACTACCACCACCACCCCTCACCACCACCCCTCACTACCACCACCACTCCTCACCACCACCACTCACCACTACCACCACCACAGAGCGCGGCCTCACTCACCCCTCGCCACCACCCTCACTCCTCACCACCACCCCTCACTCACCACCACCGCTCCTCACCACCACCACCACCACTCCCACCACAGAGCGCGGCCTCACTCACCCCTCACCACCACCCTCACTCCTCACCACCACCCTCACTCCTCACCACCACTCCTCACTCCCACCACCCCTCACTCCTCACCACCACGCGCTCCTCGCTCACCCGGAACCACATCACGGCGGGGCCGTCACGCGGCCCCTCCCCTCGCTCCACCCTCGACCCCTGCGGGAACTCCCCAGCGGGCCCTGCTCATCGTCGTCTCTTTGACACATCCCGTCAGCCACAGGGCTTCCCGCACACCTTCAGCAGCATTGGTTCGACACAAACTCTGGACGGGGTTCGTCATTCACCGTCTCATCAGTAGAGCCAGGCTCGCTTGAACCAATGCTGTGGGTGTACAAGTTGCCAGATGGTCACTCTGTATGCTAGAGTATTACACAACGCAGAATAACCATCGTCGTCGTCGTGTTTGCCTGTGTGAGGCGTGTCCACCCTCACCTCCCACCAGCCACCGACCGAGCTGGGGGACACGCTCCCCCAACACACCCAAGTTGATGGAACGGCGTAGCGGGGTCCTTTCGTTGCGAATTTCAAACGAATATCAAACGTCCAACCAACGACACGGGGCTATCGAGCCCGTGCTATATTATATTAGTGGTTATAAAAGTTGGATGGTTTATACATTTTTGTGCATTTACCGGTAACCGCATTGTTGAGCTTGGGCCGTGGTTGGGCGGATTTACGACTACCAAAATCCTTGAGGAAATATTACTACAATCATACTGATGGCAAGTCTCGACAAAGGGCAGTCTCCACTGCACCAGATATGGCAAGTTCACTTTGTTTTACTCGAGAAGTGAAGGCAAGCTACCAGCAGCACACTCGACTTGCAATCCATCTCCCGGTGCGCGGTTGTTTAAACAATCGGACAAGGTTCTTAAATCCACCCCACAATCGGCCGATTACGTGTGGTGGGGTAAAGTTATACCCACCGCCTCTCAAGACGTCCAGCCAATGTGCAGACCGATTATCCTCGAGCGGAAGGCCATTTCAAAAAGTGCCGTGAATAAGCAATTGCAGAGCTGCATTTTTACCTTTTGAGCGAAGGAAAATGTGCATTGCCTGAGCCCGCCATGCAGTTCGCACGTGGGGGTGTTGTCAATCGGTGCAATCATTCCGCGCTCAATTGGAAACGATTACCGTCTACTGATTTTAGGAGCCAGTCATCAATTTTGAAAGTGGTTATCGGGCCAACCCCATCAAAATATAACAAATTGCAAAAAAAACATTTAATTAACAGATTTTACAGCAGTGCATCAGTTGTATATCATTTAGGTCAGTTCACGAACTTTAAATACATTAGAACTGTACTGCTATTCACAAGCCTAGAGGTTGATGCCTCGTACATTACAACTGGAAGCAGACCCGAGGTGGTCTAAACGATTTCCCGACTGCCCAGTCCTCGAGCGACTTAAACGACAAGACCATGATTGATGTTTGTGCAATACCTTCTATTACCCTTTAACAACACCTATTTAAATTATCACCATCAAACCAAACAAACCACATCCCAGTAAGTAAAGACACTCTTATCCACGTCCAAATGCGTCGTCTTTCACACACATTACGATGAACTGCACACATGCAAATGCGTATTACATCATCCTTATCTGCCACACAGTGTGGTGTCCGTCCTTGTAGCATGTTCCCAACACATCGCACAATCGACGCAGATGTCTAGGAATCACTGGTCTGCAATGCGAGGTTTGTGTTGTGGGATGCCCAGCGGTACTCTTATCAGTCGAAGGGTCTGGTGCAGAGTGGCCCGCCTATCGCAACTGTTTATACCAAGCCGGCCACCTCCCCGACCCTACACACTACCCAGAGACCGACAATCTCCTCGCAGACCATTTCACGGCAATGTTGAAAGAAAATAGCGAATTTATCTTGGCCAAACTTTGGGTCCCTTACAGCAAGAAAATGCTATCTTTCATATTTGCAATGTTACCAACCCTGGTTCCTTGACATCCATTCTATGCACATTGTAGGTGGATGCATTTACACCTGGCAACCCAGAAGCATGATGAAACTTAAGGTAGAAATAGACCCAGGTTGACGCTTTCATGAATACCAAAGGGAAGCGTCAGTCCAGAAGCCACACGGGTTGAATGAGATATTTTTTTTGTTACACGGACCCCTTCAATATCCAAAGCAAACACTTAAACAGGACTCACGGAGGCCTGATTTTTCTGGAGGAATACGCAACGCAAATGTATACGTGGAGTGAATATAGCGAGGGCGGAGCGTGCTGGAGAAAGCAGACGCGACGAGGCGTCTGCCGGGGCTTGCGACGGATACGAAGCCGCAGGGATCACGACACAACTTCCTCAAGCGCCGGGGCGAGCTCGGGGAACTTGAAGCGGTAGCCGCTCTCCAGGGTCCTCTTGGGGCTCACGCTCTGACCCTGTAGGAGCAGCAGGCCCCGCTCGCGGCCCAGCATCGCGTTCACAAAGAAGCCGGGCATCGGCAGCAGCGCCGGGCGACCCAGGGCCCGGCCCAACTCTCGCGCGAAGTCGGCGTTGCTGACGGCGCTGGGCGCGACGGCGTTGAGCACCCCGCACACCGACGGAGTCTCCAGGGCGTGCGCGATGATGCCTGCCAGGTCGTCCACGTGGACCCACGGGAAGGGCTGCTTGCCGTTCCCGATCGGGCCGCCCAGCCCCAGCCAGAAGGGCCACACCATGCGACTCATGGCGCCGCCTCCCTTTCCCAGCACCAAGCCCGGCCGCACCACCACCTGTCGGACCGCGCTCTCCTGCTGGCTGCCCGGGAGCTTCGCCGCGGTCTCCCACGCGGTCACGAGTTGCGCCCAGAAGTCCGAGTCTCCGCCTGGGCTGTCCTCGGTGTAGTGCGCGGTGCGGCTCGGCCGGTAGTAGCCCACCCCTGTGACGAGTAGCCACGTGTGAGGCCGCGGCTTGGCCTCCGACACGGCCCGGGCGAGCGCGGCCGTGGTCTCCACGCGGCTGCTGCGCAGCTCCGCGCTCAGCTCCGGGCTCCAGCGGCGCAGCGGGTCGATGGCGGGCAGGCCGGCCAGGTTGAGCGCAGCGTCGCACGGCGGCAGCCCCCTCGCCTTGAGCTCCTCCCAGGTGACGCGGCCCGAGCCGGGCGAGCGCGACACCAGCGTCACGGTGTGGCCCCGGCTGCCGAGCAGACGGCACAGCGCCGAGCCCACAAAGCCCGAGCCGCCTCCCACGACCACCCTCATGGCTGGGACGGGAGACGCGGAGAGAGCACGGGAGGAGACGTGAAGGCGGAGACGGTGTGCCGCCACGTGGGGCTGAATAACACGCGCCCTGGAACGTGGGTGGCGCGGGCACCGCCTCGCCTCATATAACGAGGCAGGGCCCCGGAACGTGAATGTCGAGGGTGGATCGATTCCTCCCGCAATCCCCGTGTCGATTCATTCATCGCAAGGTCGAGGCGAGCGGAGCGCCGTCTTGCGGCGGTCACCGATGGAGGTGGCGAGGGCGGACACCGTAAATTGGGGTCACCGACAATGGGGTCACCGGCAATTGGGGTCACCGTCAATGGGGTCACCGGCAATGCGGTCACCGTTAATGAGGTCACTGTCAATGGGGTCACGGTCAATGGGGTCACCGTCAATTGGGGTCACCGTCAATGGGGTCACCGTCAATGGGGTCACCGTTAATGCGGGTCACCGTTAATGAGGTCACCGTCAATGGGGTCACCGTCAATGGGGTCACCGTCAATGGGGTCACCGTTAATGGGGTCACCGTTAATGCGGGTCACCGTTAATGAGGTTCATCGTTAATGGGGGTAACCGTCAATGCGGGTCACCGTCAATGCGGGTCACTGTTAATGAGGTCACCGTCAATGGGGTCACCGTCAACGGGGTCACCGTCAATGGGGGTCACCGTCAATGGGGTCACCGTCAATGGGGTCACCGTCAATGGGGTCACCGTTAATAGGGTCACCGTCAATGCGGGTCACCGTTAATGGGGTCACCGTTAATGGAGTCACCGTTAATGGGGTCACCGTTAATGCGTACACAAATTGAGATTTTATTTCGGTAGGAAGCGGCCCGATTTAAGTGACAATGACGGTTACACAGAGCGCGGTACTAAACAGCGAGTATCCGTTCGCGCTTCGAGAGGTACAGAAGAAATAAGGAACTGGTCGAAAACACAAAAAGAACCCGTGACTACAGTCTTACGAGCAAAACATGGAACTAAAAGTAATTTAACAAAGCAAACACAATCAGTCATCGGGAACATTTCAAAGCCAACCCTTGAGACTCACGGTCTTCGCTGTTGAGTGTGTCACGGCTGACCAATGGATTCTCACAAGTATATTTTTTGTTCATCTGAAAACAAAATTACTTTACTGTGAGGCGCGGCGTGGTGGTGTTCACTGCGTGGTGGACATTGCCCCCCTGCTGCTCATTTAGTAACCAGCCAGTTCCCGCTGCGTGTGGTTCACTCCTCCTGGGGCTTCTCGGGGTTTTCCTCGCAGCCCCCTTGCGTGTTTCCCCAGGGTACATCGGCCTGAGGGGATGGGCGGGGGGGAGTCTCACTGATATGAATCAGAATCTTTATTTAGGCTTCAGAAGAAATCCGATAAGCTACGAAGCTCTTTTTCACAGACATCCATGAGGGGCGGGTCATTCGACACCTTTGGGGTTGACATGTATTTGTCTTACGATTGGACTTTAGCAGTATCGGTGATCGCATACAAAAATAAACGATGCAACATATCGGTTTGCGGTTGTACCTCCCATCGAAATTAATAAAAAAAACTAATAATTGAGCGCCCAGTTGGGCTCCCGTGACAAACGCGGCATGACGTCATTACACGAATGCCACCAATTAGAGCTCATATTGTGGATGACGTCATCGCGCTGTTTTCATAACCGCGAGAAGGGTGACGTCCCATGCGTAATTGACGTCATCGCGTAGCGCCGCGCGATGTTGCAGGCGGGCGTCACAGGCTGGGAAGCCGCGGCGCAAGGCGGGAACGCGGAGTCCACGGAGCTACGCGGTGACATCACGACGTAGCCGTACGCGCGGTGGCGTCACGACGTAGCCGGGCGCGCGGTGACGTCACGGGGCGGGAGCGGGGAGCGTTCGGAGCCGGGCGGGACTCAGCGCAGCGGGGCCGGCGAGGCGCCATGGAGCTGTTCCAGTCGGACGGGGACTACATCGTCCAGAAGGAGGAGAGCGCGCTGTGGTGCAGCCGCGTGAACGGGCGTCTGAGTGCGCGACCCGGTGAGGTGATCCGCCACAGAAACACTCCACCACAGAGACAGAGACACACCACTACAGAGACACTCATCCACAGAGACACTCCACCACAGAGACGCCACCCCACAGAGACACTCCATCACAGAGACACTCATCCACAGAGACACTCATCCACAGAGACACTCCACCACAGAGACACTCCATCATAGAGACACTCCACCACAGAGACACTCCATCGCAGAGACACTCATCCACAGAGACACTCATCCACAGAGACACTCATCCACAGAGACACTCCACCATAGAGACACACCACCACAGAGACACCACCCCACAGAGACACTCAACCACAGAGACACTCCACCACAGAGACACTCCATCACAGAGACTCCACCACAGAGACACTCCATCACAGAGACACTCCATCACAGAGACACTCCACCACAGAGACACATCACCACAGAGACACACCACCACAGAGACACCACCCCACAGAGACACTCAACCACAGAGCCACCACCACAGAGACACTCCACCACAGAGCCACTCCATCACAGAGACACTCCACCACAGAGCCACTCCATCACAGAGACACTCCACCACAGAGACACACCACCACAGAGACACCACCCCAAAGAGTCACTCCACCACAGAGCGACTCCACCACAGAGACACTCCACCACAGAGACACAAACCCACATAAATACAATAACCGCCGGGGGTGACATCACCACGGCGCTTGTGCCATGCTCGGTGCACTTTGAGGCCACGTGAAGTGAACAGATCCACGTGCCATTGGCTCAGTGGCAGATAGCACCAACTGTGTTCCCCACTGTGCCAACTTGCTTCGTTTTATCCGCCCAGCGCTCCGCTTGTTGTTGTGAGCGTCGCTCCTCCGTCCTCCGTTGTTGCTGGAAGGCGACTGCCTCCAACTGCGTAGGAGCAGCGTCCTTCAAGAGCTTCCTACACAGAGGCCGATCTTGACACCGCTCGTACCAGGCATCAGTAAATCCAACCATCTCCACAAGCTTCTGTGCCATATCAGCCCATCTCTTCTCTATCCAGTACCGCGTCCGTTTAGCCCATCTATCCAGACAGAAGCTGCTTGGGCATCCGATCGCTGGTTATTGAGCGTGGATCGGGATGAAGAATCAGAATCTTTCTGAATCAGAATCTTTCAGAATCAGAATCTTTCAGAATCAGAATATTTTAGAATCAGAATATTTATTTATCCTGGAGGAGTCCCATGAGCCATGAAGCTATATTTCACAGGTGTCCAGTAGGGGCGGGCTGAGATTAATAGGCGAGTGAGAGCAGGGTGGCAGAGCGCTCTTGTAAAATTGAACTTGGCAATGAGAAGCAACCCAGCAATGTGGTTGAAGAGGAACGTCTTCAATCCGTGTGTAGTACTGGCCGCTACTGCTGTGGCTCGGCTATAAACAGGAGATGGTCATGCGGTTCGCATGGCACAGAGCAACGACACACGAGGAACGGACCGGGTGTCGAACCTGGCTCCTGCTTGGGCAGAGACAGGATTAGGGAACGTTATATACAGCCAGTGCAGTGATTGTATGGTCGGTGAGGATCCATTAAGCTGATTTAATGAGCACAGTAATTTACTGGAATCAGACGGTTTGTCCATGCTGCTGACACAATCAATGGTGAAGGCTTACACTGAGGTCCGTCTGCTCTCAAGTACTCAGTGTGGAGCCAGCGGCTGCTGCTGCCCATCGCATAGCCCAGTGAGGCCAATCCCAGAACCCAGCAGGGCCCATCCTAGAGCCCAGTGGGGCCTTCCCAGAGCCCAGCAGGGCCTTCCCAGAGCCCAGCAGGGCCCATCCTAGAGCCCAGTGAGGCCAATCCCGGAGCCAAGCAGGCCCCATCAGGGTCCAAATATAATTTATCCATGGGGGCATGACTACGGATAACCCTGGATATTTGTAAGAATTTGCCGAATAACTACATTTATCTGTATCCTGGACCTCGGCTATTTTGATGGGCATGCCTCCCAGAGTTGGAAGAGAAAAACAGGTTTTTGCCGACCCCGGACAAGCGAATTCAAGGATAATTGGTAAAGGCACAGCCCTGCAATTGCTTGCTCATGCCACTGCTGGCAGAAGGATGTCCACTATGGGAAACTCTAGAGAGCCCCTCTAGGGTATTTTTTTGCCTACTCTGGCTAGACGTCTTGAAAGAGGTGGGCGTACCCACACTTTACCCCACCATACATGACATGCCGAATGACTAAGAAACCTGCTCCATTATTTCAACTGCCTTGCCGGGAGATAAAAACGGCGACCTCTGGATTACAAGTCCACTGTGCCAACCATTACATCACGGCAGCATCCCAATTATAATTAGTTGTATAATAGAAAATAAAAAAATGTATACACAAACAAAAATAAATCACAATTGTACTACGAACATATCTGGGAATGGCCCTTCTTGGGAATCGGCTCGTGAGGTCCGTAGATTTGCGGATGTGTGTGTATTTGTTTTTAATTCTGTACATTAGACACAAAGCTGGGCCAAGCCAAAGGCAACATTCACAAACATATCCGCGTGTGCACAAAGTGGCCCAGTCTTGCTCCGCTCGTGGCTGTGGGAGACTCCGCTTCGTTGTGGTTGTTCGAGCTCCAGAGTGCTGCACCACGGGGTCAGGGCCACAGCGTGGCCGCGGTCCTCGCTCGCATGAGCAGATGCCTGGGCTGATGAGTACAAGTCGGCATGTGTACTCAAACCCGTGGTAGCACTGCTTAGTGCTTGTTGCCTGCTCTTAACATATATGGATTTCTATAGCAATACCGTAATAATAATTTATAATTAGAGACCAGTGATTATGTGCTCACAAATATATGTACGCATTCATAATTACATGGAAATTACGTGACATTTTTTGGAATACTTTATACCAGTGCAGCAAATAGCAAGCCCAGGCTTTCTCTGTTTACTGTGATGGTCCTTGTGTCGTAGCTGCGGATGTCTCTCCACTGTAGCGTTACGAGCGTTTATTAGAGAGCACTAGATTAAGTGCAGCGTATGAACCGAGTCCCAACTAAACACGTGCAATGTCTATCCCGGTTCAAATTTTGTAAAAAAAAATCGATAAATTACGCATAAATTACTTCCACAGCAATTATTTCCCTTCACTGGCAGCGCAGGTCCCATTGCCGAGCCGGGTGCCGAGTCGCCTCGTGCCACACAGGGACGGCTACCAATAGGGGGATCTGCGCTCTGAGACATTTCACTACGTGGTAGGTAGAGCGCCATAGACACGCATGTTCGTTCAAGTAGCGAGGAGCCCTGTGAGGCAGTTGAACGTGTCCTTGATGTGTAACAAGTGCGCCGGGTAAGTTGAGACGATACTCATGCGCGGTGGTGGTGGTGACGCTACCTGCAGGCTCAGATCTGCTAAATGCATGGAACCCGGTGTGCCTCGGGGAAGTGGAGGGAGTCATCGGCAAGATCAAGCTGCACCCCGGTAGGTCGCGCAGTGCAGCTTGTGCCGCCAAACGGCACACGAAGGAAACATCACCGCATTCGAAACGAGTAGGCATGCCGGCGTCACATTCCAAATTTTGCTGCATATGAAACGTACCCGCAAATTACTCAATTGGGATTTGCACAGCATTTACCGCCCCCTACTGGCAGACTATTGCCTACTTGCAAAGCCAGGTGCTACTTTGCCACCTTGTGCTGTGGAGGGACAGCTGCCCCTGGGGGTGCTCTTTTAAATGTATGAGATAAGATGGGATGCAAGTCGGCTATTGCGTGTAAAGTGGCCTGTGATGCCCCGGTGGCAAGGAGGGCGCTCTATCCAGACAAGCCGCGGTGAGAGTTATTGTCACACAGCGGCATGCCACGGCACGTGAGCCGGCGGCACAACGGAGCTTGGCGCGGTGCCACGGTGACGCGGAGCAGGGGTGCGACGCGCCCAGGCACTTTGCCGCCCATTGCATGGCTCACTTCATGCTTGGTTATAAACAGGCATTCGATGTTATTATTTACATTTTAACACACCTGCTGAGCACAGTAGCCCCAAAGGCCCAAATTGTCAAACGGCCAGCGACAAACAGCATCGTAAGGACAGTAGCATTTTATTATTAAGTAAGCCATGTTCAATTGTTCATCTTCATGAAGAGCACGTGACCCTGTGCATCCAATCATAGCGTGTGTTGCTCGTGCAACAGCAACATTGTTCCACACTGGTTTGATAGATGTTGTGTTTTTCAGTCCAGAGGGCAGCTTTCTTTCTCCAGTGTTGCACCCTTTGTTGAACAGAGAATCCATATGGCAAAATTGTTGAAAAAATTGCATAATCATGTATCCGATTACCTCCTGCCTGAATGCAGGAATTTAATTCTTCTAAGCAGTACATTTCCAACAAAGTTAGAATTTTCAGCAAAATGTGCGCCATTATTGATGCAGCCAATACCTATCAAATCTGTGACTGACTAGAAAAGGCCATGATAGTAGAGAGAGCCCATGGTAAACGGAACAGCGCTGTTGTCAGCGACGTTATAGCAGGAGATGTACGGCATTTATTGGCGTCAGCGTGAACCCTGCCTTCCCGGTGCTGGGGTCCACAGCTCGCCACCACACCCAGCCGCCATACCCACGCCATGTCACGGCACTTGCAGTAAAACGCATCACACGCACACTCGCGGTGGCCCTCTTGGGCCATCGACAGCCCACTTCTATTGCTGTTCCGCTGCAGGCGATACCATTGACATGTCAAAACATCCAATCCTCTTTTGTAACTATAGATACGCAGGTGATGACTAACCGAGTGATTACAGCACCAGGTTCGTGTTACACAATACTGTGAAGGCTACTGTAATTATTTGCCATGAAGCGCTGTGAAAAAAACGATGTTTGACCTCAAAATTTCCTGTTAGGTGACCGGCAGAGCGTGCTTAACGGGTGGCAGTGGAGGGAGGATGCGGAACGTGCGTCTTGCTCTTCACTGGATACTAAAAGGGACAGGGTAGATGGGCTGAATGACCGGCCAGGTGCTACGTCACCTTCTAACCACCCACAGGGACAGCTACTGCTGGGGGCGCCCATTCAAATGTGTTGAAAAGCGACGTAAGTCGCTTATCGTGTGTAAAAAGCTCCTCGGACGCATCGGAGTAAAGTAGGGCGCTCCATTAAAAAAAATCATTGTTAATTGTCATTAATGGCATTTATCTCATACACATTGCTGTTTGTCGTCTTTATATTAATAAATAGGGATCTCGTTTTTTTATATAGTTGATTAGAAGTCGCTATGGGAGGAAACCAGAGAACCCGGAGGAAACCCATGCAGAACAGGGGGAGAACATGCAATCTCCACCAAGAAAGGCACCCAGGTTGGGAATCGAATCGAGGGACTTCTTGCTGTGAGGCCACGCGAGTGTCGCCACTGCACCGCCACCCGAGAGAGCCAGGCCTCGGAGCATGCATAATGCAGCAGGATGGGCGCGAGCCGCACGCCCCCACACGTGCGGGGCCTTTGCGTTTTAAATAACGTGGGGAAGGAGCCGTGGTGCAGGAGGAGCGGAGGAGCCTGCCTGACAGGTCCTCGCGGGCAGTGGAAAAACAGAGCGGCGTTTAAATATTGATGCGCGGGTATCGCATGCGCCCCCCGAGCGGCGAGGGCGTGGGTGACCCGGCGACGGCCGTCGCACGTCCCTGCGAGGAGGGCTGTTTGAAGCAGTGCAAGGGAAGAAGCGGAAAGAGAAGTGTGGTGAGTGAGTGATTAAGTGAGAGAATGAGCGTGTGGCTGCTGGGTGGGTAAGTGGGGGGTTGTGACATGCATGGTGATGGTTGAACACAGTGGATGAGACGAAACGGTCAGCCTGGTAGACAGAGTCCTCGACATATGTGGAGGAATCGATGAGTGAAGTTGCGGTCCTGAGCTGGGCCCCGTGTAGCTCTTCCAGCCGTGCAGCTGCCGGGTTCGTTGGGGCCCCGTGTGGGCGTCTCGCTCCACTGACGGGGACCACACCGGCTGCGGTGGGAGCTTCGTGCTCGCCCCGTCCCGCCTTGCACGCTCCAACTTCCTCCACCCCCCCCCATCGTGTCCGCTGCTCCTCGTGTCCTCCACCTCCTCCTAAACTCTCATCGCCGAACACGATAACATCGTCAGTAACGATTTTGTACATTTGGTATTCGCGCCGTTCTTTTAGCGCGAGGCTATCACGGCGGTGCTGTGTTTCACGGTCTCCGGTTGTTTCACCGCAGGTGATGATGTTGCCGTGTGTCATCTCAAATGTGTCATTTGGCGGTAATTTTTCGAATTTGAAAAATGTGGACCATGACGCCGACAAAAGTGTCCAACTCTTTTCAATTGACATCACAGGACCGTAAACGTCCGCTGTGGCACAGACGGCGCGTAATTATGGTTAACACACCAGCAAGAATAACCAAGCTGTTCCGCTGGATTCGAACCGGTAACAAATGGCGAGCATGCTACCGCCAAGCCGTGTCACCGCCCCACAGACGGTGTTACATTTGCTTTATATTATTAGAGTTAATAATTTTTATTTTATCTTTGTGTTATTCTAAATAAAGTTAAGAATAATCTTGTTGTCCAGTGTACAAAATGCCACCGAATTTCAACAGTGAGCGTTGTTCCTGGCACGCCGGGCAGAAGTGGGGCAGGCGCCGACGGCCGTCCCTTGCCGTTTGCTCTGCTGCTGCTGAAATAGATCGCGCAAAAACGTCACTCTCCACGGAGCAATTAAACCGTCGAGATGCTCGGTGTCTTTGTCGCGTAGCGCGCGCGTGGTTGCAGGCGTGCGCGTGTGGCGCTGTTCCCCGTCACAGACCTCCACTGGCATCTGCTGCTGATTCGACAGAAGGAGCTGGTGGGGGTGCTTCCCGGGGGCCATGAGGTCTACAAGGTGTCCCGCATCGCATGCCTGCCACTCAGCGCCGCCGAGCCCTGCGAGATGGAGCTTCAGGTGGATACATACCGCTGCTTCACCACCACCCCTCTCACCCCACATTCACCCAGCAACCACCACCATCTTGTGAGATGTGATTTGCATGAATTACGTCGCTCTGTACAAATAAAACATGAACGGCCGACTCGTCCGCCGATGGAGATCGTACATTCATTCACCCGTCATTTCACCACCAGGAAAGACACAACGGTAATCGTTGCTGCTGCTGTGTTCTAACTTCCTGTAGCCGTGCAAGAAGCATCACTTTGGCATTCCGAAGGGAGATAAGGTTGCCTCTGCAGTTGAGGACAAGTTCCTGCTGAAAACTTTAAACCACTTAAAGTCCAACGTTGCGGCTCCCATCAAGAAAAAGGTGAGAGGCAGCGGCCGTGGGTTTGAGAGGCACTGGCCGTGGGAACCAGAAATGTTAGAAATATATTTTTTTGTTTAACGGAACATCTTTGTTGAATAAATCAAGCGTGTATGCAAATGCATGCTGGGTACGACACATCCGGCAAAATGCAGCCGCGGATGGAGGCTGTTCTGCTGTACCGTGTTGCCCCGGTCAGTCATAGCCGTGTAGGCTGTGGTGTGCAGTGCTGTGCAAGCTGACAGTTTGTGTCGCGATGTGCAATGGAGGTTGTCTGTGATGTGTGGTGCCAGTCAGTGGAGGTTGTCTATGATGTGTGGTGGAGGTTGTCTGTGATGTGTGGTGGAGGTTGTCTGTGATGTGTGGTGCCAGTGGAGGTTGTCTGTGATGTACAGTGGAGGTTGTCTGTGATGTGTGGTGGAGGTTGTCTGTGATGTGTGGTGGAGGTTGTCTGATGTGTGGTGCCAGTGAAGGTTGTCTGTGATGTGTGGTGGAGGTTGTCTGTGACGTGCAGTGGAGGTTGTCTGTGATGTGTGGTGGAGGTTGTCTGTGACGTGCAGTGGAGGTTGTCTGTGATGTGTGGTGGAGGTTGTCTGTGATGTGTGGTGGCGGTGGAGGTTGTCTGTGATGTGTGGTGGAGGTTGTCTGTGATGTGTGGTGGAGGTTGTCTGTGATGTGTGGTGGAGGTTGCCTGTGATGTACTGTGGAGGTTGTCTGTGATGTACAGTGGAGGTTGTCTGTGATGTACAGTGGAGGTTGTCTGTGATGTACAGTGGAGGTTGTCTGTGATGTGTGGTGCCAGTCAGTGGAGGTTGTCTGTGATGTGTGGTGCCAGTCAGTGGAGGTTGTCTGTGATGTGTGGTGGAGGTTGTCTGTGATGTACAGTGGAGGTTGTCTGTGATGTGTGGTGGAGGTTGTCTGTGATGTGTGGTGGAGGTTGTCTGTGATGTACAGTGGAGGTTGTCTGTGATGTGTGGTGGAGGTTGTCTGTGATGTGTGGTGCCAGTGGAGGTTGTCTGTGATGTGAGGTGCCAGTGGAGGCTCACTATGATGTGCAGTGCTATGGAGTAGAAGTTGCCTGTGATGTGAAGTGCTGTGCAGTTCTGTCCTTGCGTATGATGGCAATGTTTACGAGCTAAAAGCGAATGTCATGGTCTGCTATCCACAACAAGAGGGCTTCAGGAGAGAGTTTGTGTAATTTTGCTACTCCGTTGAAGAAGCGCAGACCAGTGGTTTACTATATTGTCCAGAGTTTGGGTAGCATGGTCACAATTTCACTACTGTGACTTGTGTCTGGCTTGCAGTAGCAACTCTGTGTGATGTGCACTGCTGTGTAGTAGAGTCTGGTTGTGATGTGCAGTGCGATGGAGGCTGGTCGTGGTGTGTGACCTTATTTGCTGGTGCTTCCCCCGCTCAGACCCAGAAGGATGCGTCAGGCCGGGATCGTCTGGAGCGCCGGCTGTTGGAAGAGCTGGTGAAGATGTTCACAGACTCGGACTCCTTCTTCTTTTCACCGACGTTTGACCTCACCAGTAGCGTGCAGAGGCAGCGCTCCTGCCAGCGCTCCAAGCCGCTCGCGTGGCAGGAGGTAACGAGCGTTAGAACAGCCATGCCAACACTAAGACTGTTTACGGTGTCTGAAAGCTAAAGGTATCTAAGATGCTGTATGGAACATATCACCGAAAAGATAACAACACCAATAATCAGCTTAAAAAATAAGTGGAAAATGCCACAGAAATGTGGTCAAGTATGGTTGACGGACTGATTCTCCACACACAAGCCCCCACAACCACCACGGATTGACCTAGGCTCAGAGTGATGTCAAATACCGGAGTAGACAGTGTAGTTACGTGCGTGCGTGTGCGCGTAGGTCTAGTGGAGCAGCAGAGGTTAGCGTGCTCCACTTCGAATCTGGCCACCCAAGTTCAATTCCCGCTCACGCCCACCAACACCAGTGACGATTATATAAACCGGTCCTCGGCCTGCCTGAGGTCGACTCGGCCTCAAATGAGTACTTGGTGCTGTGTGTAAACATCGCCAATGGAGAGGCAGAGGCGGTCGGGCGTGGTGCTGGCCACTCATCCCCTCGTGTTCCACAGTGCCGGCCTTCATAGGTGCTACTCGCTGACAGCACTTTCCCCAAAAGTTTGTTAAGGGTACACGGTGGATCTTTGTCTTTGTCCAGTGCGATGACCGCTTCTTCTGGAACAAGCTCATGCTGCAGGACCTCATCGACTCGCAGGTGAGCCCTATCCACCACGCTGCAGCTGCTCGCGTGGGCCCCCCCCCCCCCAACAGACTTGGCCATGACAACCTCTGCCCCCCCTCTCCGCCCCCCCCCCCCACTCAGGGGACTCTGCTGATGTTTCGGTTTTGTCCCTTTTGTAAGGTTGCAGCGGATAAGTTTTGAGTCATTTTGAGCTCACAAATAGTTTTTGTTATTTTTATGGAGTTGGGTCAATTTATATTTTCTAAAATATCTAAAAAGGTTTTATTGACACAACCGAGTATAAAAAAAAACTAATTATATAAAGTGCTACTACTGTCAAAAAAATTAAGATGTATCAATGTGGCATGGAATACTGTGCTAGCTGCAGTGAATGTTCAGCATGTACATCTGTATTGTACCGTTTTAGCTTTGTACCACGTGACCAGGCTTAGCGCAATTCCTACCTTTGATCCGGCACCATGGAGGTGGGGTTGATGGATCGTGCTCCGGTGTGAGTCCGAGGCCGCTGTGGTGGCAGGGCCCCATAGAGCTTCTCTCGGCTGTTCTGCGGCGTGGCAGCTGATGTGTCTGCAATCAGCCACGGGGTCTTGTCTGGACACTGGAGCTTGTAATTCTTTGTATTTGCAGTTATTGCAATCGCAATGTAAGTTTGGTTATTTTGATGTTTCTACAATTTCATTTCACTCCAAATGGTTTTTTAAAGAATGTTGAAGGAGCCAAGCTTTGTTACTGCAATTGTATTTAATATCGATTATGTTTGTGCACTATTTTCGATTTCTTCTGAAACGTGGTTGTTTTTGCTCCGATTTAATTCCGCTTCTTTGTTGTGCTTGCTTCTTATGCGATTGCTTTTGTGGTTTTGGTGACCCAGGTCTCTCTTGCAAATGAGACTCTATCCTGGTCTATGCAGTTCTCACCTGGTTAAGCAAAATCAACTTGCAATTGGTTGGCAGGGCGGTGCCCTTGCACCTCACAGCAAGGAGTTCCTGGGTTCGATTCCTGACTTGGGTGCCTTTCTCTATGGAGTTTGTTTGTTCTGCCCCTGTTTTGCATGGGTTTCCACCAGGTCCTCCCAGTTTCCCCTCCCCTTAACTAATAAACGTATAATGTCGGTCTTAATTAAAATTTGCGAAAATTGCCGCACAGAGGCTGCCAATAGGGTGACTTGCGCTCTCAGACACTTCACTTCGTGGTAAATGGAGCGCGTTACGTACGCAAGTTCGTCCATCGGAAACACTAATGTTTTGCATGACGGGGCAAGCCAGACACGCAGGCCTTGCCTGACTTAAAGTCGAGGCTAATTTAATTTGCAGCGGTTGAGTTTCGGTGAACCGGATGCTGCCGTCACATTCCCAGGACGAGCGGGCGGACTTCTGGATCATGCCGGTGATCCAGGGGTTTGTGCAGATCGAGAAGCTTGTGGTGAAGTATGGGGACTCTTCGGACGACGAGCGCAGCAGCCCCGAGAGCCCGCCCACAGAAGCCTCGACCGAGGCCCCCCACCCCGAGTTCCTCGTCGCCCTTATCTCCCGGCGCAGCCGTCACCGCGCAGGTCTCACGGGCGGCCACGCGGCACGCACACGGGCGGCACATGCGCAGGCGGGCACATGCGCAGGCGGGCACATGCGCAGGCGGGCACATGCACAGGCGGGCACACGGCAGGTTCATGGGTGGGCAGTGGGGGGTATGCGAACAGCTCGATGGACAAACAGGTGGGCAGGTGGACAGGCTGGCCAAGGTTATTTTTTTTCTTTCTGGAGAATGTAAACTGCGGTCACGTGAACCCATGCATGCAACACGCGCATACACGTATAATAACGGATCCCTAATCGCTGTTTGATGCAGGCAATGTTGGCATTTTTCGACTTTTTCATTCACGTTATTTCCGGAGGGTTTTACACAGCAGACCAAGAGCAACAATTCACCACAAATGGGGTGGGGGTGTTGTCGCAGGCATGAGGTACAAGCGGCGTGGGGTGGACAGGGACGGCCACGTCGCCAACTTTGTGGAGACGGAGCAGCTGATCCACATTCACACGCACACGCTGTCCTTCGTGCAAACGCGCGGCTCGGTGCCCGTCTACTGGAGCCAGGCTGGGTACACCTACAACCCCAGGCCACAGCTGACCAAAGGTGAGAGACTCGTCTCGCTCGCCCGGTGCTCGCGCCCAGCCAGCACGCTCCGGCGCTCGCCAAGTGCTCTCTGCACGCTCCCAGCGGGACAATGAGCAAGCGGAATATGCCAACTATTTTGACTCATTGCCGTCGACAAAAGTATAAACAAGAAAAAACGTGTTTTTGATGCTCGTAACCATGTCCGCTGTTGTATTTACCACTGTAAACCTGTTTATCTACATACATGGCTAAGCCAGTTTAGAATTGCTATATATGACGGAAGTAATTTTTATTTTCATTACCAATACATGCTTGCTTTGTGACAAATGCAAGTGTGGAAATACCCACATCAAACGTTTTTACCAAATTATCTGCGAGGTTTGTTGCTGTTACTGGTGGTGAGAGTATTTGGTATGAGTGATGTGGTAGCAGGTAAAAGGAATCTCTGTGTGGCAGGGTGACGCAGCGATAACAGGTAAAGGGACTCTCTCTGTGGGGCAGGGTGACGCAGTGGTAACAGGTAAAGGGAATCTCTCTGTGTGGCAGGGTGACGCAGCGGTAACAGCTAAAGGGACTCTCTCTGTGTGGCAGGGTGATGCAGCGATAACAGGTAAAGGGAATCTCTCTGTGTGGCAGGGTGACGCAGCGGTAACAGGTAAAGGGTATATCTCTGTGTGGCAGGGTGACGCAGTGGTAACAGGTAAAGGGTATATCTCTGTGTGGCAGGGTGATGCAGCGGTAACAGGTAAAGGGTATATCTCTGTGTGGCAGGGTGACGCAGCGGTAACACTCGTGCCTCACGGCAATAAGGACCTGGATTCGATTCCTGACTCGGATGCCTCTGTGTGTGGAGTTTGTATGTTCTCCCCCTGCTCTGCTTGGGTTTCCCTTTGGTTCTCTCTCATAGGTAAAACAACCAAACAATGTAACCGGTATTGGACTAACATTGCAAAGCTGAAAAATCACTTGTAGATTACTCAGCTGGTTTCAGACCAAAGCAACATTACCCCTCCTGTGAAGGCTCCTCAAAAAGAGTCTTGAGACTTTCCTGGGTAAACCAACAAAATAATGATGGTCTGGTGAGATGCGTGGTGGAGGTGACGGGTGCTACCTCATGTTCTTCCAGGTGACAAGGAAACCAGGGATGCGTTTGAATTTCACTTTAAGAAGCAGCTTGAGATCTATCAGAGGCAGGTGTGTATTATATATATATATTTATATTTTAAGTTACCTGTGATGCAGTTTGACTGACAGCACACTTCGCTTCGGTTTTTGCTGCCAATGTGATATATTTTTGGTTGAGGCCACGTAATTATCCGGGAAATGTTTTGTCATGAAACCCTCCACCACTCTACATAGCCAGACAAATTAAATTGTCACGTGGTGTACGAGCGTTTAACGCGATAGTTGTTATTGTTTCAGCTCACTCATCAGCAATAAAATAATGTATTTTGCTTGAAAGTGATCCATGCATCTTCAAGACAGTATAGTTTCAGTTAACCGTTACCTTTTACCCATACATTGACAACACGACTTCAGAGTGGCATCGGCTAGAAAAGTCGGTGTCGCTCTCTCTGGCGCGTACCGGTGATTTCAAGCGACTTGCCCAACGGTGAAACCATAATGCAGTGGGAAGCATTTATCACAGGTGGTCGTCAACCTGGTGGACCAGGCCGGTCGGGAGAAGATCATTGGGGACACGTTCCTCAAGCACGTGCTGCACTTCAACAGCAAGCAACTCACCTACATCACCTTTGACTTCCACGAGCACTGGTACCCTCACCTACACGGGCACCGCACTGGTACCCTCACCTATACGGGCACCGCACTGGTACCCTCACCACACAGGCACCACACTGGTACCCTCACCTACACGGGCACCGCACTGGTACCCTCACCACACGGGCACTGCACTGGTACCCTCACCACACGGGCACCGCACTGGTACCCTCACCACACGGGCACCGCACTGGTACCCTCACCACACGGGCACTGCACTGGTACCCTCACCTACACGGGCACCGCACTGGTACCCTCTCCACACGGGCACCGCATTGGTACCCTCTCCACACGGGCACCAAACTGGTACCCTCTCCACATGGGCACCGCACTGGTACCCTCACCTCACGGGCACCGCACTGGTACCCTCTCCACACGGGCACCGCATTGGTACCCTCTCCACATGGGCACCGCACTGGTACCCTCACCTCACGGGCACCGCACTGGTACCCTCACCACACGGGCACTGCACTGGTACCCTCACCTACACGGGCACCGCACTGGTACCCTCTCCACACGGGCACCGCACTGGTACCCTCACCACACGGGCACCTCACTGGTACCCTCACCACACGGGCACTGCACTGGTACCATCACCTACACGGGTACCGCACTGGTACCCTCTCCTACACGGGCACCGCACTGGTACCCTCACCTACACGGGCACCGCACTGGTACCCTCACCACACGGGCACCTCACTGGTACCCTCACCACACGGGCACCGCACTGGTACCCTCACCACACGGGCACCGCACTGGTACCCTCTCCACACGGGCACCAAACTGGTACCCTCTCCACACGGGCACCGCACTGGTACCCTCACCACACGGGCACCGCATTGGTACCCTCACCACACGGGCACCTCACTGGTACCCTCACCTACACGGGCACTGCACTGGTACCCTTACCTACATGGCCACTGCACTGGTACCCTCACCGAAACGGGCTCCTCACTGGTACCCTCACCTACACGGGCACTGCACTGGTACCCTCACCACACGGGCACCGCATTGGTACCCTCACCACACGGGCACCTCACTGGTACCCTCACCTACACGGGCACTGCACTGGTACCCTCACCTACACGGGCACTGCACTTGTACCCTCACCGAAACGGGCACCTCACTGGTACCCTCACCTACACGGGCACTGCACTGGTACCCTCACCACACGGGCACTGCACTGGTACCCTCACCACACGGGCACCGCAGCCTGCCGAGAGCATGCTGAGTGATTCGGCTAATTCCAGACCCTCCGTCTCGTCCCGACACCAAGAATAAACCCCGGGAATGAGCCACTGACTCCGAATGTTCAAACTAACAGCAATGCAAGCACGGAGTTACCATTCACACTGCAGCAAAACTTTAACGTCAACACTAACCCTCGTGAGTTAACTCCAACTAATATTTTATTTACTAATTTAACATCAAATTCACTCATTTTTGATCCCTTTACCCCTAACTCATCCAGAACTGCTCATTGGCAACGGTCATGGAAATCTGTGGAATTGCTCATGTATGACTTATCATTGTGCATTCTAAATATATAATATATCATTTGAAAATTGAGTTGTTAAAAATGTCAACAAAATGGTAATTTTATCTCCAAAAAATCTGATACTGCTGAGTTCATCTCTGTTAGGCATCATCTCTGCCAAGGTTCATCTCTGCCAGGGCTCGATGGCATCTCCCGTGTTTGCTGGATTAGCGCCGAGCAGTCCGCTGGTATGGGGGGCAGGCAGGATGCCAGTGGTAATACTACTCATGCACGACTCGGGTGCCTCTCTGTGGAGTTTTATCCTCTCCTCTGTTGGTTTACTCTGGGTTCTCCAGTTTATTCCCATAGCTAAAAAACATACAGTCTAACTGATATACAGTGTAACTGATATTGGTCAAACATTCCAGTGCTGCAAGTTATTCAAACGGTTTACGCAGAGCAACATTGTTCCCAACTGTGTAATAATATAAAGAATAATTATTAATCATAATTGCTGATAGCACGGCGAGGTTGGAGAGCAGCCACGTGTGGATCGCAGTGCTGCGAATGAGCAGCTGGTACAGTCAAACAATCCCGACACTGACTGCCGTCATTCAGCAGTGGATTGACATTTGGCTTCAACGCTACGAACCATCAATCGCCGGCGATTGCACAATGAAAAGTCACGTGCGAACGGTTCCACAGATGCGTATTGGCGTGGTGTGCGCGCCCGCTTGCTTGTGTTGACGTGCGCGTCCCGTCCCCAGCCGCGGCATGAAGTTTGAAAACGTTCACATTCTCACGGACGCCATCTGCGAGATTATCAGTGACATGAAATGGTGCTGGTAAGCGTTTATCTCTTTGCGACATAAACCAATCGCGCCACCAAACTTTAAACCCGATGGTCGAGATGGTGTGCTCCACCGTGCGCTCCACCGTGTGCTCCACCGTGTGCTCCACCGTGTGCCCCACCGTGTGCCCCATGTGCATGCTCACTCGCCTGTGCTCCACCGTGTGCCCCTGCCTGTCATGCGTGTGCGTCATTGTGTTTGTGTACCAATGGGGAGCAGTGGTGCAGCGGTTAGTGTGCCGCACTACGAACCCGGCGCCCCGAGTTTGATTCCCGCTCACAGTCGAAATCAGTGACAAATATCTGAACTGGTCATGGACCTCCACTAGGTCGACTCGCCTTTAAATTACTGTCTTATGCAGTGTGTAAACATCAAATTGGGGAGAAAAAGGCAGCTTGACGTGGTGTTGGCCACCCACCCCCCTCGTGTACATGGCAGTCTTCAAATGTGCTCGCTAACAGCACCTCCGATTAGCAGGGTTTGGCTGCGTCCGGTGAAAAAGAATTTGAACAAACAGTACATACTTGCCCCAACAGTGGTGGGTGTCGGCGTGGGTGGCGAGCGTCTCCGTGCGTGGTGGCTGTCGGCGTGGGTGACGAGCGTCTCCGTGCGTGGTGGGTGTCAGCGTGGGTGGCGAGCGTCTCCGTGCGTGGTGGGTGTCGGTGTGGGTGGCGAGCGTCTCCGTGCGTGGTGGGTGTCGGCGTGGGTGGCGAGCGTCTCCGTGCGTGGTGGCTGTTGGCGTGGGTGGCGAGCGTCTCCGTGCGTGGTGGGTGTCAGCATGGGTGGCGAGCGTCTCCGTGCGTTGCCAGGGCGGACGCGGCGGGGCTCATTCAGGTACAGCAAGGAGTGTTCCGCGTGAACTGCATGGACTGCCTCGACCGCACGAACGTGGTGCAGGCCGCCATCGCCCGCATCGTCATGGAGAGCCAGGTATCTGCGTCTCCCACCACTAACCACGGCACTGCCAATCTCTGCACAAATGTCCCTAACCTCACCCGCACTAATATCATCATCATTGTGATCATCATCTGGTGACCAGGCTACTCTGGTGTGTCATTGAGAATTTGGTCCATAACACTGCATTTTGTGTTCGGAATTTGACTCGACCCATCATTCTGCTGTGGTAGATAAAACGACTACTACCCGTAGAAATTCTATATTTGTTCTCCATTCAATATTTGTTGTCCATCAATCTAAGTGAGTGGGATTGCGCAGGACATGTCAGGAGAAGGGATGATGGTCGATGGTGAAGAATAGCGATGTAGTGGCAGCTGAGGTAGGCGCAGCTCCCAAGGGGCTGTCCGCCAAACAGATGGAGTGATTAAATTTGGTCCATGTGCAGGTGCTAACCGCTTATTTATTACATCGCAGGATTGCGAGAGATGGTGGTGGCTTGAGGAGGCCTTTGTCCAGCAGTGGATCGATCATGATGGTAGAGATAATGGCCCCCACCATAGGAATGTGGAATTTTCACAGCCCGCAGACCCCCACAGAGATGTGCACCGTCAAACGCGCGTCGAGCACGGAGAGGGGCCCCGTGTTGTGACCGCGCCCCTCCTCCCGCCCCTCTCAGCTAAAGAAGCTGGGCGCCATGCCCCCTGAGCACCAGCTGCCCATTAAATGCCGGCGCATCTACCAGGTGATGTGGGCCAACCACGGGGACACGGTGAGCCGGCAGTACGCTGGCACGGCCGCCCTCAAGGTGAGTTGTGCGCCGCCTTGCTCGTCAGCAGCACCGCCCTTGGGCTCACGGCAGGGAAGCTCGCGGGTCTGCCGCTTTCACGTGCGGTTGTGGGACGTGTAGCAACTAGGCGGTTGTGGGACGTGTAGCCACTAGGCGGTTGTGGGACGTGTAGCAACTAGGCGGTTGTGGGATGTGTAGCCACTAGGCGGTTGTGGGACGTGTAGCGACTAGGCGGTTGTGGGATGTGTAGCCACTAGGCGGTTGTGGGACGTGTAGCGACTAGGCGGTTGTGGGACGTGTAGCGACTAGGCGGTTGTGGGACGTGTAGCCACTAGGCGGTTGTGGGACGTGTAGCCACTAGGCGGTTGTGGGACGTGTAGCCACTAGGCGGTTGTGGGACGTGTAGCCACTAGGCGGTTGTGGGACGTGTAGCTACTAGGCGGTTGTGGGACGTGTAGCGACTAGGCGGTTGTGGGACGTGTAGCGACTAGGCGGTTGTGGGACGTGTAGCCACTAGGCGGTTGTGGGACGTGTAGCCACTAGGCGGTTGTGGGACGTGTAGCCACTAGGTGGATGTGGGACGTGTAGCCACTAGGCGGTTGTGGGACGTGTAGCCACTAGGCGGTTGTGGGACGTGTAGCCACTAGGCGGTTGTGGGACGTGTAGCCACTAGGCGGTTGTGGGACGTGTAGCGACTAGGCGGTTGTGGGACGTGTAGCCACTAGGCGGTTGTGGGACGTGTAGCGACTAGGCGGTTGTGGGAAGTGTAGCGACTAGGCGGTTGTGGGACGTGTAGCCACTTGGCGGTTGTGGGACGTGTAGCCACTAGGAGGTTGTGGGACGTGTAGCCACTAGGCGGTTGTGGGACGTGTAGCGACTAGGCGGTTGTGGGATGTGTAGCCACTAGGCGGTTGCGGCACGTGTAGCCACTAGGCGGTTGTGGGACATTTGGCTACTAGGTGGTTGCGGGACGTGTAGCGACTAGGCGGTTGCGTGACGTGTAGCCACTAGGCGGTTGTGGGACGTGTAGCCAATAGGCGGTTGTGGAACGTGTAGCCACTGGGCGGTTGTGGGACGTGTAGCCACTAGGAGGTTGTGGGACGTGTAGCCACTAGGCGGTTGTGGGACGTGTAGCGACTAGGCGGTTGTGGGATGTGTAGCCACTAGGCGGTTGCGGGACGTGTGGCTACTAGGCGGTTGTGGGACGTGTAGCCACTAGGCGGTTGTGGGACGTGTAGCCACTAGGCGGTTGTGGGACGTGTAGCGACTAGGCGGTTGTGGGACGTGTAGCCACTAGGCGGTTGTGGGACGTGTAGCGACTAGGCGGTTGTGGGACGTGTAGCGACTAGGCGGTTGTGGGACGTGTAGCCACTAGGCGGTTGTGGGACGTGTGGCTACTAGGCGGTTGTGGGACGTGTAGCAACTAGGCGGTTGTGGGACGTGTGGCCACTAGGCGGTTGTGAGTCGTGTAGCCACTAGGCGGTTGTGGGTCGTGTAGCCACTAGGTGGTTGTGGGATGTGTAGCCACTAGGCAGTTGTGGGACGTGTAGCCAATAGGCGGTTGTGGGACGTGTGGCTACTAGGCGGTTGTGGGACATGTAGCGACTAGGCGGTTGCGGGACGTGTAGCCACTAGGCGGTTGTGGGACGTGTAGCGACTAGACGGTTGTGGGATGTGTAGCCACTAGGCAGTTGTGGGACGTGTAGCGACTAGACGGTTGTGGGACGTGTAGCCACTAGGCGGTTGTGGGAAGTGTAGCGGCTAGGCGGTTGTGGGACGTGTAGCCACTAGGCGGTTGTGGGAAGTGTAGCCACTAGGCGGTTGTGGGACGTGTAGCGACTAGGCGGTTGTGGGACGTGTAGCCACTAGGTGGTTGTGGGACGTGTAGCCACTAGGCGGTTGTGGGACGTGTAGCGACTAGGCGGTTGTGGGACCTGTAGCCACTAGGCGCTTGTGGGACGTGTAGCCACTAGGCGCTTGTGGGACGTGTAGCGACTAGGCGGTTGTGGGACGTGTAGCCACTAGGCGGTTGTGGGACGTGTAGCGACTAGGCGGTTGTGGGACGTGTAGCCACTAGGCGGTTGTGGGACGTGTAGCCACTAGGCGGTTGTGGGACGTGTAGCGACTAGGCGGTTGTGGGACGTGTAGCGACTAGGCGGTTGTGGGACGTGTGGCCACTAGGCGGTTGTGGGACGTGTAGCGACTAGGCGGTTGTGGGACGTGTGGCTACTAGGCGGTTGTGGGACGTGTAGCCACTAGGAAGTTGTGGGTCGTGTAGCCACTAGGCGGTTGTGGGATGTGTAGCCACAAGGCGGTTGTGGGACGTGTAGCCACTAGGAGGTTGTGGTACGTGTAGCCACTAGGCGGTTGTGGGACGTGTAGCCACTAGGCGGTTGTGGGACGTGTAGCCACTAGGCGGTTGTGGGACGTGTGGCTACTAGGCGGTTGTGGGACGTGTAGCGACTAGGCGGTTGCGGGACGTGTAGCGACTAGGCGGTTGCGGGACGTGTAGCCACTACGCGGTTGTGGGACGTGTAGCCACTAGGCGGTTGTGGGACGTGTAGCCACTAGGCGGTTGTGGGACGTGTAGCCACTAGGCGGTTGTGGGACGTGTAGCAACTAGGCGGTTGTGGGATGTGTAGCCACTAGGCGGTTGTGGGACGTGTAGCGACTAGGCGGTTGTGGGATGTGTAGCCACTAGGCGGTTGTGGGACGTGTAGCGACTAGGCGGTTGTGGGATGTGTAGCCACTAGGCGGTTGTGGGACGTGTAGCGACTAGGCGGTTGTGGGACGTGTAGCGACTAGGCGGTTGTGGGACGTGTAGCCACTAGGCGGTTGTGGGACGTGTAGCCACTAGGCGGTTGTGGGACGTGTAGCCACTAGGCGGTTGTGGGACGTGTAGCCACTAGGCGGTTGTGGGACGTGTAGCGACTAGGCGGTTGTGGGACGTGTAGCGACTAGGCGGTTGTGGGACGTGTAGCGACTAGGCGGTTGTGGGACGTGTAGCCACTAGGCGGTTGTGGGACGTGTAGCCACTAGGCGGTTGTGGGACGTGTAGCCACTAGGCGGATGTGGGACGTGTAGCCACTAGGCGGTTGTGGGACGTGTAGCCACTAGGCGGTTGTGGGACGTGTAGCCACTAGGCGGTTGTGGGACGTGTAGCCACTAGGCGGTTGTGGGACGTGTAGCCACTAGGCGGTTGTGGGACGTGTAGCGACTAGGCGGTTGTGGGACGTGTAGCCACTAGGCGGTTGTGGGAAGTGTAGCCACTAGGCGATTGTGGGACGTGTAGCCACTAGGAGGTTGTGGGACGTGTAGCCACTAGGCGGTGGTGGGACGTGTAGCGACTAGGCGGTTGTGGGATGTGTAGCCACTAGGCGGTTGCGGGACGTGTGGCTACTAGGCGGTTGTGGGACGTGTAGTGACTAGGCGGTTGCGGGACGTGTAGCCACTAGGCGGTTGTGGGACATTTGGCTACTAGGTGGTTGCGGGACGTGTAGCGACTAGGCGGTTGCGGGACGTGTAGCCACTAGGCGGTTGTGGGACGTGTAGCCACTAGGAGGTTGTGGGACGTGTAGCCACTAGGCGGTGGTGGGACGTGTAGCGACTAGGCGGTTGTGGGATGTGTAGCCACTAGGCGGTTGCGGGACGTGTGGCTACTAGGCGGTTGTGGGACGTGTAGTGACTAGGCGGTTGCGGGACGTGTAGCCACTAGGCGGTTGTGGGACATTTGGCTACTAGGTGGTTGCGGGACGTGTAGCGACTAGGCGGTTGCGGGACGTGTAGCCACTAGGCGGTTGTGGGACGTGTAGCCACTAGGCGGTTGCGGGACGTGTGGCTACTAGGCGGTTGTGGGACGTGTAGCCACTAGACGGTTGTGGGACGTGTAGCCACTAGGCGGTTGTGGGACGTGTAGCGACTAGGCGGTTGTGGGACGTGTAGCCACTAGGCGGTTGTGGGACATGTAGCCACTAGGCGGTTGTGGGACGTGTAGCGACTAGGCGGTTGTGGGACGTGTGGCTACTAGGCGGTTGTGGGACGTGTAGCCACTAGGAAGTTGTGGGTCGTGTAGCCACTAGGCGGTTGTGGGATGTGTAGCCACAAGGCGGTTGTGGGACGTGTAGCCACTAGGAGGTTGTGGTACGTGTAGCCACTAGGCGGTTGTGGGACGTGTAGCCACTAGGCGGTTGTGGGACGTGTAGCCACTAGGCGGTTGTGGGACGTGTGGCTACTAGGCGGTTGTGGGACGTGTAGCGACTAGGCGGTTGCGGGACGTGTAGCGACTAGGCGGTTGGGGGACGTGTCGCCACTAGGCGGTTGTGGGACGTGTAGCCACTAGGCGGTTGTGGGACGTGTAGCAACTAGGCGGTTGTGGGACGTGTAGCCACTAGGCGGTTGTGGGACGTGTAGCAACTAGGCGGTTGTGGGAAGTGTAGCCACTAGGCGGTTGTGGGACGTGTAGCGACTAGGCGGTTGTGGGATGTGTAGCCACTAGGCGGTTGTGGGACGTGTAGCGACTAGGCGGTTGTGGGATGTGTAGCCACTAGGCGGTTGTGGGACGTGTAGCGACTAGGCGGTTGTGGGACGTGTAGCGACTAGGCGGTTGTGGGACGTGTAGCCACTAGGCGGTTGTGGGACGTGTAGCCACTAGGCGGTTGTGGGACGTGTAGCCACTAGGCGGTTGTGGGACGTGTAGCCACTAGGCGGTTGTGGGACGTGTAGCTACTAGGCGGTTGTGGGACGTGTAGCGACTAGGCGGTTGTGGGACGTGTAGCGACTAGGCGGTTGTGGGACGTGTAGCCACTAGGCGGTTGTGGGACGTGTAGCCACTAGGCGGTTGGGGGACGTGTAGCCACTAGGCGGATGTGGGACGTGTAGCCACTAGGCGGTTGTGGGACGTGTAGCCACTAGGCGGTTGTGGGACGTGTAGCCACTAGGCGGTTGTGGGACGTGTAGCGACTAGGCGGTTGTGGGACGTGTAGCCACTAGGCGGTTGTGGGACGTGTAGCGACTAGGCGGTTGTGGGACGTGTAGCCACTAGGCGGTTGTGGGAAGTGTAGCCACTAGGCGGATTGTGGGACGTGTAGCCACTAGGAGGTTGTGGGACGTGTAGCCACTAGGCGGTGGTGGGACGTGTAGCGACTAGGCGGTTGTGGGATGTGTAGCCACTAGGCGGTTGCGGGACGTGTGGCTACTAGGCGGTTGTGGGACGTGTAGTGACTAGGCGGTTGCGGGACGTGTAGCCACTAGGCGGTTGTGGGACATTTGGCTACTAGGTGGTTGCGGGACGTGTAGCGACTAGGCGGTTGCGGGACGTGTAGCCACTAGGCGGTTGTGGGACGTGTAGCCACTAGGAGGTTGTGGGACGTGTAGCCACTAGGCGGTGGTGGGACGTGTAGCGACTAGGCGGTTGTGGGATGTGTAGCCACTAGGCGGTTGCGGGACGTGTGGCTACTAGGCGGTTGTGGGACGTGTAGTGACTAGGCGGTTGCGGGACGTGTAGCCACTAGGCGGTTGTGGGACATTTGGCTACTAGGTGGTTGCGGGACGTGTAGCGACTAGGCGGTTGCGGGACGTGTAGCCACTAGGCGGTTGTGGGACGTGTAGCCACTAGGCGGTTGCGGGACGTGTGGCTACTAGGCGGTTGTGGGACGTGTAGCCACTAGACGGTTGTGGGACGTGTAGCCACTAGGCGGTTGTGGGACGTGTAGCGACTAGGCGGTTGTGGGACGTGTAGCCACTAGGCGGTTGTGGGACCTGTAGCCACTAGGCGGTTGTGGGACGTGTAGCCACTAGGCGGTTGTGGGACGTGTGGCTACTAGGCGGTTGTGGGACGTGTGGCTACTAGGCGGTTGTGGGTCGTGTAGCCACTAGGCGGTTGTGGGATGTGTAGCCACTAGGCGGTTGTGGGACATGTAGCGACTAGGCGGTTGCGGGACGTGTAGCCACTAGGCGGTTGTGGGACGTGTAGCGACTAGACGGTTGTGGGATGTGTAGCCACTAGGCAGTTGTGGGACGTGTAGCGACTAGACGGTTGTGGGACGTGTAGCCACTAGGCGGTTGTGGGAAGTGTAGCGGCTAGGCGGTTGTGGGACGTGTAGCCACTAGGCGGTTGTGGGAAGTGTAGCCACTAGGCGGTTGTGGGACGTGTAGCGACTAGGCGGTTGTGGGACGTGTAGCCACTAGGTGGTTGTGGGACGTGTAGCCACTAGGCGGTTGTGGGACGTGTAGCGACTAGGCGGTTGTGGGACCTGTAGCCACTAGGCGCTTGTGGGACGTGTAGCCACTAGGCGCTTGTGGGACGTGTAGCGACTAGGCGGTTGTGGGACGTGTAGCCACTAGGCGGTTGTGGGACGTGTAGCGACTAGGCGGTTGTGGGACGTGTAGCCACTAGGCGGTTGTGGGACGTGTAGCCACTAGGCGGTTGTGGGACGTGTAGCGACTAGGCGGTTGTGGGACGTGTAGCGACTAGGCGGTTGTGGGACGTGTGGCCACTAGGCGGTTGTGGGACGTGTAGCGACTAGGCGGTTGTGGGACGTGTGGCTACTAGGCGGTTGTGGGACGTGTAGCCACTAGGAAGTTGTGGGTCGTGTAGCCACTAGGCGGTTGTGGGATGTGTAGCCACAAGGCGGTTGTGGGACGTGTAGCCACTAGGAGGTTGTGGTACGTGTAGCCACTAGGCGGTTGTGGGACGTGTAGCCACTAGGCGGTTGTGGGACGTGTAGCCACTAGGCGGTTGTGGGACGTGTGGCTACTAGGCGGTTGTGGGACGTGTAGCGACTAGGCGGTTGCGGGACGTGTAGCGACTAGGCGGTTGCGGGACGTGTAGCCACTACGCGGTTGTGGGACGTGTAGCCACTAGGCGGTTGTGGGACGTGTAGCCACTAGGCGGTTGTGGGACGTGTAGCCACTAGGCGGTTGTGGGACGTGTAGCAACTAGGCGGTTGTGGGATGTGTAGCCACTAGGCGGTTGTGGGACGTGTAGCGACTAGGCGGTTGTGGGATGTGTAGCCACTAGGCGGTTGTGGGACGTGTAGCGACTAGGCGGTTGTGGGATGTGTAGCCACTAGGCGGTTGTGGGACGTGTAGCGACTAGGCGGTTGTGGGACGTGTAGCCACTAGGCGGTTGTGGGACGTGTAGCCACTAGGCGGTTGTGGGACGTGTAGCCACTAGGCGGTTGTGGGACGTGTAGCCACTAGGCGGTTGTGGGACGTGTAGCCACTAGGCGGTTGTGGGACGTGTAGCTACTAGGCGGTTGTGGGACGTGTAGCGACTAGGCGGTTGTGGGACGTGTAGCGACTAGGCGGTTGTGGGACGTGTAGCCACTAGGCGGTTGTGGGACGTGTAGCCACTAGGCGGTTGTGGGACGTGTAGCCACTAGGCGGATGTGGGACGTGTAGCCACTAGGCGGTTGTGGGACGTGTAGCCACTAGGCGGTTGTGGGACGTGTAGCCACTAGGCGGTTGTGGGACGTGTAGCGACTAGGCGGTTGTGGGACGTGTAGCCACTAGGCGGTTGTGGGACGTGTAGCGACTAGGCGGTTGTGGGACGTGTAGCCACTAGGCGGTTGTGGGAAGTGTAGCCACTAGGCGGTTGTGGGACGTGTAGCCACTAGGAGGTTGTGGGACGTGTAGCCACTAGGCGGTGGTGGGACGTGTAGCGACTAGGCGGTTGTGGGATGTGTAGCCACTAGGCGGTTGCGGGACGTGTGGCTACTAGGCGGTTGTGGGACGTGTAGTGACTAGGCGGTTGCGGGACGTGTAGCCACTAGGCGGTTGTGGGACATTTGGCTACTAGGTGGTTGCGGGACGTGTAGCGACTAGGCGGTTGCGGGACGTGTAGCCACTAGGCGGTTGTGGGACGTGTAGCCACTAGGAGGTTGTGGGACGTGTAGCCACTAGGCGGTGGTGGGACGTGTAGCGACTAGGCGGTTGTGGGATGTGTAGCCACTAGGCGGTTGCGGGACGTGTGGCTACTAGGCGGTTGTGGGACGTGTAGTGACTAGGCGGTTGCGGGACGTGTAGCCACTAGGCGGTTGTGGGACATTTGGCTACTAGGTGGTTGCGGGACGTGTAGCGACTAGGCGGTTGCGGGACGTGTAGCCACTAGGCGGTTGTGGGACGTGTAGCCACTAGGCGGTTGCGGGACGTGTGGCTACTAGGCGGTTGTGGGACGTGTAGCCACTAGACGGTTGTGGGACGTGTAGCCACTAGGCGGTTGTGGGACGTGTAGCGACTAGGCGGTTGTGGGACGTGTAGCCACTAGGCGGTTGTGGGACATGTAGCCACTAGGCGGTTGTGGGACGTGTAGCCACTAGGCGGTTGTGGGACGTGTGGCTACTAGGCGGTTGTGGGACGTGTGGCTACTAGGCGGTTGTGGGTCGTGTAGCCACTAGGCGGTTGTGGGATGTGTAGCCACTAGGCGGTTGTGGGACGTGTAGCCACTAGGCGGTTGTGGGACGTGTAGCCACTAGGCGGTTGTGGGACGTGTAGCCACTAGGCGGTTGTGGGACGTGTAGCCACTAGGCGGTTGTGGGATGTGTAGCCACTAGGAGGTTGTGGTACGTGTAGCCACTAGGCGGTTGTGGGACGTGTAGCGACTAGGCGGTTGTGGGACGTGTGGCTACTAGTCGGTAGTGGGACGTGTAGCCACTAGGCGGTTGTGGGTCGTGTAGCGACTAGACGGTTGTGGGACGTGTAGCCACTAGGCGGTTGTGGGACGTGTAGCCACTAGGCGGTTGTGGGAAGTGTAGCCACTAGGCGGTTGTGGGACGTGTAGCGACTAGGCGGTTGTGGGACGTGTAGCCACTAGGCGGTTGTGGGAAGTGTAGCCACTAGGCGGTTGTGGGACGTGTAGCGACTAGGCGGTTGTGGGACGTGTAGCCACTAGGCGGTTGTGGGACGTGTAGCCACTAGGCGGTTGTGGGACGTGTAGCGACTAGGCAGTTGTGGGACGTGTACAACAAATCCAACTGCCATGCGTGCGAGCGCCGTAACGACATGTGTGTCTCCGCTCGCAGGGGGACTTCACGCGCACTGGCGAGCGGCGGTTTGCCGGCGTGATGAAGGACGGCTACAACTCAGCTAATAGATACTACCTCAACCAGTTCCGCGACGCCTATCGGCAAGCTGCCATAGGTGCGGTGCCCACACACCGAGCATCACACTACTCCTGGTCTTGCGGTGTGATCCCTGCCCAGCTACCCACTCAACGTGCCTCTGGCTCTCCTGTCCAACTCTCTCATGTTTTTGTTATTTATAGCTGCTTCCATTGGAGGACATGGAAAAAAAAATTGCTTTAAAAAAATGCTGATATCATTTTTTCCAGAAAAAGTGATCAATTCCACCAAATTCTGAGTCGCCATTAAGACTGCCCTTTGTATAAGCGTTTCATTTGATTAACTAAATGTGCAACCTGGCTGGTATTTTCTTTAATGCAATATAATTTGGACTGACTCGGTGGCACTCTCAGTGAGCATTGTTTTGTTTGCCTGGCCGTGATGGTGCCATCTGTCCCATGCCGCCTGCGTGCGCAGACCTCATGCAGGGGCTGCCGGTGACGGATGACCTGAGCACCATCGTGAGCCGCGAGCGGCACCACGAGGCGCTGGCTCGCAGGGAGAGCCGGCGCAGCCAGGCCGAGCAGGTGAGCCAGCTGCTGCAGTCCTGCATGAAGCAGCTGCTGCCCAGCCACGAGGAGTTCCACGGGGGCTGGGCGCTCATCGACTGCGACCCCAGGTGAGGGCGAGGAACGGCCCTCGACCCCCCGCTCAGCGCCACCACTCCCTGCTGCTCACACGGAGCCCCCTGCTTCATTCACGCCGTACGTAGCTTGGCTACGTATGGTGCGAAACAAGTTCACATATGCACATACGTGCTCGGTGCGAATGCTCACAGCTGCTCACGCATGACCGATACGTGCTTCACAGTGCTTGTACACAAATTATTCGATTGCTACTGCCCAGTAGTTTTGCGTTAGCACAGTGACAGAACTGTCGATGAGTTCGACGCGTCTTCTACACGTGAAGCGTAAACACGCGCGGGACGGCTCGCAGAACGGAACCGCCGCGTCTCTCCGCGGGTCGCGTCTGGGGTTGTGTGCGTGGCGCGCATCGTACGGGCGGTCTGGAGCAGGCGGAGTGCACATGGCGAGAACTCCGGACGTGGGGTCTGCGACGTCAAGGCCAATGTGGCACAGAGGGGGGTGGTGGAGGTGACCGCGTCCGTGTTGAATGTGACCCCCACAGTCTGACGGACGCCACGCACCGCGACGTCGACGTCCTGCTCATCCTCACCAACCGCGCGTACTACGTCGCATAGTGAGTCGCGGCAAAGACGCACATGCACCGGTGCGGGTGTGTGTCTGCATGGCGGGTTATCGCGCTGCGCCACGAACCTGACCACCCAAGTCCGATTCCCGCTCACAGCCATCACCAGTGACGATTATTTGAATCAATCCTGGGCTTTCCCTAGGTCAACTCGGCCTCAAATGAGTACCTGGTGCGGTATGTAAACATCGCCACTGGGGAGATAAATGTGGCCGGGCGTGGTGCTGGACCCCCACCCCGTCGTGTGCCGTGGCGGCCTTCATAGGTGCTCGCTAACTACACTTGTCCCGACAACCTGTTTCAGCTATACGGGGGAACTTTGTTTTTGTGGAGTGGTAGCGTAGCGGTTAGCACTCTGTGCTACAAACCCGGCGACCCCAGTTTAATTTGCGCTCATGGCCACCATTGGTAACGAATATCTGAACTGGCCCTGGACCTTCGCTAGGCGTTCACACGTTACTCACCCCCTGAGGTGTATCACATGTGAATGATGAAGCGGCAGCGCAAGTCTCAGCTGCATATTCACCGTGCGAACTACGTGCGCGCGGTCTGCGGCATGTGACCGTGTGTGCTGCAGCTTTGACGAGGAGGCTGATAAGATCACTCACTACCAAAGGATCGACCTGGCCGACCTGGAGAAAATAGAGATCGGTGAGCGTGCTTCACCTGGTCGGACGCAGCGATTCTCGTGATAATGATTGATTGATGATGAGGAATATTTCAAGCATTGATCTCTAGAAGTAATAATGAGCGGAGCACTAGGTTTTCGCAGACAATGGCGCAATCCAATGTTGATCTTTGGGCGGGGCCACGTAACGATCTGGCCAAATTTGTGTCGTTAAGACCCCTCCACCACCCGACACGGCCAAAACAAATGTAATTGTGACGAGTTCGGGCGTACGCATTTCAGCTTCCCGGTAAGTTTCAGAATGAGTCTCACAACCAGATTTGAAGATTGGCCAAGAACGACTTGCAAGCGTCCCCTGCACGAGCGCCGACTCTGACAGATTACACGATGTCCTGCACACGCAGTGTAACCAGAGTGCCAAACGGCTCCAACGAGGAACGCTTGCCTTATTGTACCAGTGGTTAGCAATGCTCGTGTAAGCAGTGGAGTGACAACTTCCGTTTGTTTGAAGTTTCGCCGGACATGTGAATATATATAGATAGCGACGTATCCACGCGCTGAGTCAGCGCCGTGCTGTGCTGCGCTCGTTGCAGGCCCTGAGCCCACGCTGTTTGGGAAGCCCAAGTTCATCTGCATGCGCGTGCACTCCACGTTCAACGGCGCCGGCGGGTACTTCCACACGCTGCGAGCCGCCACGCGCTCCCCCGAGGACAGCGGCAAAGGTGAGCGTGTGTGTGCAGCTGTGTGTAGGGGGGCTTTGTGTGTGTGTGCAGCTGTGTGTAGGGGGGCTTTGTGTGTGTGGGAAGCGGTAGTGTAGCGGTTAGCACGCTGCGCTACGAACCCAGAGACCCAAGGCCGATTCCCGCTCACGGCCGACACCAGTGACGATTATCTGAACCGGTTCTGGCCCTCGCCTGGTTGACTCAGCCTGAAATGAGTACCTGGTGCGGTGTGTCAGCATCCCAACTATGGAGACAAAAGCGGCTGGGCGTGGTGTTGGCCACCCACCCCCTCGTATGCCACAGTGCTGGCCTTCACAGGTGGAACTAACAGCACTTGCCCCAACAGCCTGTTACAGGCTATATACGGGGCTATATGGAGCTGCGCGTGTGTGGAGCTGCGCATGTGGGGGGGCTTTGAGTGTGTGTGTGTGGAGCTGCGTGTGTGTGAAGCTCCTTGTGTGTGGAGCTGCGTGTGTGTGTGGAGCTGCTGTGCTAGTGTGCAGCTGCATGTGTGTGGAGCTATGTGTGTTGGGGGCTGCGTGTGTGTGGAGCTGCATTTGTGTGTGTAACTGCATCTGTGTGGAGCTACGTGTGTGGGGGGCTGTGTGCGTGTGGAGTTGCGTGTGTGGAGCGCAGCTTCCAACCCGGCGACCGGAGTTCGATTCCTATTCACGGCCAACACCAGTGATGATTATCTGAACTGATCCTGGACCTCTCCTAGGTCGACTCAGTCTCATTTGAGTGGCAAGTGCAATGTATGAACATTACCACTTGGGAGACAAAGGCGGCGAGGCGTGGTGCCGGCTACCCACCTCCTCGTGTGCTGTGCTGACTTTCATAGGACCTACCCAATGGCAGAGCCAGGATTTTTAGGTAGGGGGGGCAACCCCTCCCGCAATGAAAAATGATAGGAGTTGTTAGTAAGTAAGGACTTGTCCCTTGCTTTTTATTCGACGCGTGTGCGGCGATGGCGCAGCCATCGATCGAGGGTCGAATTCGAACCGTGTGTGATCGGCATCGCACTCGCTGAAGGTATCCTTTCAGGGAAGTCGTGTACTGTATATGCGACTGCGCGCAATTCTGAGTCACTTATAACTGCTTTGCCGTTACTTATTGCCAATTATGGACTCAGACTATTGTCCTATCATCTCACAGAGTCCCTGTCACGTAATAATATGCTACACGGTGGCAGTGGGGGTTGCAAAATGCCGATTTATTACTAATAAACCCCAATAATCCGATCTAAATGAGGGATTTCGATCGGATCATTGGGGGGGCACGTGCCACCCCACCCCCCCACTGGCTCTGACAGTGGTCCTACTTATATGGGGGACCTTTGTCTCTTTTGCGTGTGGAGTTGTGTAGAGAACAGTCTTGGGCAGACATGTGCTGGTCTCGTAAACGATATGGAAACGTCACGGCACATGTGGCAGGCAGCATTTTGCATAGCAGGTGTCTAGCAGTCACACTCCATCGGTCATCGCGGTCAAGTTGTGGTCTTGGCCGAGTCGTCTTATTGCATAATTTCTACGGCCACAAACGTGACCGTCTCATCGATTGCAACCTATTGTGAGATGCACGCGCACGAACACGTGCAGTCCTGTGCTCGAGCGTTTGCGTCAATCATTTACAAAGCACGCCGCTTGATTCTACTTGAATTGTAATTTTGACGTGCCGCGTGACGCACCGCACTGTGCTGCAGACACGCTGCAGTGCATCACAGAGATCTTCCAGATCGTGAAGCAGACGAGCGGCGGAACCCTGCTGCAGACCGAGGGCAAGCTGGAAAAGTAAGTCCCAGGGTGTGACGCAGGACAGTGGTGCCTAGATAAGGAGGCGATAACGATTACAAAATATATTTAATGTTTGTACGTTTGGCATTCGCAACGTTCTCATAGCGGAGGGCCGCAAGGTTTGTGTCGCCGGTGTAGTCGGCCGCCTAAAGGTCACAGTGACGAGATGTTAATTACCTTGCCTGGTATACAGGTCATGGGTTCGATCCCGACCCTGACGATACCTGCATATTTGGAGTTTGCAATTCTCCCCATGGTTGTGTGGATTTTTCTCCGGATCCTCCGGTTTTTCCCTCCACATTTAGAATCAACATCATGCGTTAAAGAGTATTCGGCTGCTATAAATTTCCACAAGATAAGTCCCTTTGTCGAGCTATAATTTGTGACCAGGTCGCTCCTGAAAAATAACTATATAGCTCAGGGAGCCTTATCTGGTAAAATAAAAACGGTTTAGTTTTTGTTTTAAAGCCTGTCTCCCGGGCGCGCAGGAAGAAGAGCAAGCCACACGAGGAGATCATTGGCGTGTCTCACAAGGAGGAGGGTGCCGACGGCTGGTCAGAGGAGAACTTCTCGAAGCTGTCGCTGGGCTCCCCGTCGGGCCGCTCGGGGCTGGCGCAGAGCAAGCGCTACCTGGCAGGCGTCCAGCAGAACGTGCGCAGCAAGTTCTCGTCGCTCAACCAGAGGGTCAAGCAGTCCAAGCCCAACGTGAACCTCGCCGACCTCGGCAGCAACTTCCGCACGCTGAGGGCGTTTGAGGGGCCCAATCAGCCGAAGGCCGCCGCCGTTGCCGCGGCGCAGCGCGCTCAGCCTGGCCGGGGGGGCCCGCAGGCCTCTGGCCAGCGGGCGCTGGACGCCGAAAGCGACCCGTCACTCTCCGACTCGGACAGCATGGCAGAGGTCGGCACCAGCCCCTGGGGTCCCACGTCAAATGGCGGGTTTCGTCATCATCAGCATCGTCAGCCATGATCATTCCACTGCTGGACGGAGGCCTCCCCACGCCGTCGTCTCCCCATACGGTTCTGCGATGCCACAATCCATCTTCCTGTAGTTCATGAGCTGATCTCATCTCCACTCTCATCCATCGGCCCTTCTCGTGACGTGTCCTCCCCAAAGCCCACTTGCTTCCCTTCCCAATGTCTTTAAGTGGTGTTTGTTCCCCGAGACACCTGTTCCTCTTTGTGTCCCTCGGTGTCATTCCGAGCACACACCTCCTTATGCTGCTTATTTACGTACTTGTCAGCTTTTATGTTCTTTGCATTTTGATAGAGAAGCTGTCGAGCAAATAGTTTTTCCTAAAATAATTGGGTAAGTTAAGTTTCCTCTCCTACAAAATATTCGTAGAACGGTGTTCTCGGATGCCGCGACTCCTGACCGCGTGGTTACTGGGCGCTTGTGTGGCTGTTCCTTCAGGACGAGGACGAGTTTGGGATCGCGACGGCGAAGTCCGACGACGAGCGCCATGCGTCGCAGCCCGATGTCCTGGACTACGTGCTGCCGAGCTGTGGCATCGTGGCGTCCGCTCCGCCCGCGGCGCGCCCCTGCGGCGGCACCGGCCTCGTACGCCCCTCCAGCATCGTCGTCACCGACTGCAGCGACCCCGCCCGTGAGGCCACGCGGTCCGTCGAGGAGTTCCCCGGGGATTCGGCGGACCCCAAGGAGCGGCAGGAGCCGGCGCGGCGACCCTCGCGCCTCGACATTGCGTGCGGAGGGCCGGCGGCCGCGGCGGGCGATCCGCGGGCGGGTGCGTCGGATGAGCGCGCCAGTCCCGGCGGGCGGCCCACCCCCACCTCCGGCGAGGGCAGCCGCACCGTGTCGCCTTTTGCACGCATCAAGAGCTCGATGGCGCAGATGGCCAACATGCCATCCCCGCTGGGCCTGCTGCAGGGCATGAGCTTCCCGTCGGGGCGCAGCCCAGAGCCCGATTCCCAGGAGTCCCAGGAGCAGAGCCTCCATGAAATCAAGGCCATGATGCAAAACTGCCAGACGCGCATTATCCAGATCTAACTAAAATACAACAAGCCTCCTGCATCCACACATACATAAAGTCTCCTGCATCCACACAGACACCTCCGATTATCACTGTTGGGTATGTACATACAACCCCACTGCATCCACACAGAAATACTCGAGCATGCGACACGCAGTGACCACCGGGCGACAAGCAGCAACGTGTATCATGGCCAGCAGTAATGCTCTGTTACACTCGCGATATAAATATATACAGGACCATTACGTTATTATTATTATTACTGAATGTCTTAAAAGTGCACTTTAACATATATAGTGTTGGAATTTAACTTTAAAGAGATGCTCCGTCAACATAACTAATTACAATTCGGTATTGTCCTCGTTTGTAAATTATTTTACCAATAACCTAAGAGAGAATTTCAGAGTGATCCCCATACACAATCCAATCATAGATCCCCGATAATAAACGTTGGGAAGACAAGTTTTTATATTTTTCACAACGGCCATTATTTTAATAGAGAACGCGAGAGGGACGCTCAAGGGGTCCAAGGGTCCTGGTTTACGCAACTCAGAATTACACCGCCGCCAACTCGCGTCGCGTTAAACTACTGGATTAAGGGATATAGTGACCGGTTTTTGAGAAGGCCGCCATTTAGCCTATAAGTAAACATTTTATCTACAGTAATACCCTTAAAATAATTAAACCTGAACTACTGTGTCAAGACTATAAAGAAGCAATGCAGTGGAAGGGTGCGACGTGTGAACCCGTGACGGCGCGTCGGTGTTGCCGTCGCCGCGTTGCACGTGCTTCTCGTCGTGGTGAAGCCGAAGGGAAAGAGCGCCGTGGGTTGGGCGCGCGGACGGCTTTACCTCTTCCGCTATGGACACATTCCAAACTCAAGACTGTTGTATCCATCTCTTTCATTTCCTTTGACAATATTTTACAGCTGACGTTTTGTTATATTTTACGATGTTTGATAAATGCGTACGTAAATATGTACCCGTGGGGTTTGTGCTGTTGGTACTGTATCGTAAGTGCTATCGTTTTGAGGTTTAATACATGTCAAGCTTGCTGAATTTGAGCCTCAAGCAGTGGCTAATTCCCTGTGCGAGCCTCGCCGCACCACAGGGCTCCCGTCCGCACGCTTCTGCTGCCCCGCACGCTTCTGCTGCCCCGCACGCACGTGTGGTCATGGGGGGTGCAGGCCCATGCACGAACAGTACCGGTGCTTAAACCTTCAGCTGTGCACGGCTACTCTAGCCGATGACATTGGAAGAGATGAGAAGTGTGTGATCTGCTCTTGGCCGCAGGTCGTGTTCTGGACCTGGTCGAGATGGTCCCACTGACTGAGGGTTTCTCTGCAACAGAGCCAACACCTGTACAGAGGTGGTCGCCAGGGTTCAGTGTTGCTGTTAGGTCCCCTGTGTTTCCTGTAGGCAATGGAACTTGACAGCTGGCACGGCGACATCCAACCAAAGAAACCTGGAGGATGACTCCAGCCATGCATGAGAAAGGATAGAGGGACTCATCCACGTAGTTCATTCGATGTGTAATACTGGACTTGCCACATTTCCACACAGGTGTGTGGCCTTGCATCCACCGACTGAATGCACGAATGCCAGTTCCACACACGCGACACGAGTGTCCGCATGTGTGGAACTGGCGATTGAACACATCCCAACTCTCAATGTGGTCGTTCCATGTGCAATGCCATCATCAATCATTGAAGCGGTGCTCTTCTCCTGTTTACAGCCCTGAGCCAGTGCTGGAAATTCAACATTCCTTTGGTGGGGGAAGGTTTATCCGTAGGGCAACCGCTGCAGAATTCAGTGGTACTAATTTTATTGACACTGGAGGGATGATGGGCCGAGTCACCCACCAACTGGGATTTGAACTCTCACCCTTGTGATTGTAAGCCGGTCGCTCCACCGCTGATCCACTGGGCCGACAATGCCTCGCTTGGAACCAATTTGCATCGGCAGAGCAGGAAATTATGACCAAACGCTCAATCGCTTGAGCACACACACATGGCCTTGTACACAGCTAGTGCTTATTTCCATTGAGTACAGTCACTTCCAATAAGGCGAGTGAGTATATTAGGAGAGAAACACTAACGAATGCATTCTATCGGGGGGTGATAAAGATGTCACGGCTTTATGACAGGCGAATAGCCTCGGCATTTGTTGCTCCTGAGTGGAATGTCTCACGGTTGGTATAATGACTTTTACTGAATGTGAGAGTGCCCGAAATACACCTTGCAGTTGAGTGAGGCGGAGCCTTGGCACTGCCAGCAGGGATAACGCCGTTGTGAGAGGCAGCGTCCTCCATGCAGGCGCGCTGGCTGCCCAGGCAGCAGCAGGGCAGTAGAAGGGGAGCAGCAAGGCAGCAGCAGGGCAGAAGGCACGCGATGGACTTTACGCTGTGTTCCATCCCACAGGCAGCAAATCAGAGGACGATTGAGAAATTTCGCAAGGGTGGTCCCAAAATGTGTAATTCTTTAACTTGGATCCTACGTTAATAAATGTGATGTATTTGCTCTGGGCAATACCAATACAATGCTGAATTTTGGGATATCAAGGTGGGGGGGGGGGGGGGCACTGACCAGCTTCTTGTACATCAAGGTTGTGCTGTTAAAACAATCATTCGGCTCGTGCATTTCCTAAGACGAGCATCCATGATGCACGTTTTGAATCTGATCCAAAATGCCTTAAGGTTAATTTTCTTCTCTGCTGCTGCACGACCCTTGAATGTGGACACGGGGGGAAGCCAAGCCTCACGGCACGAGGCCAGTGCATAGCAGCCATCTCTGCATGAGCGCGCACACAATCACTTGGTTTCACTTGGGCTTTTTTGCCCAGATTTAGTAACATTTTATTATTTCTATTTTATTCTGCTTGTTTACTGAGAAAGGCCTCATTGAGTCTCATTATTTTGTTTCAGGGAGGCTCCCGGTAGGGTTTTGCGGTAGGGGGAAATTATTGCTCCGTTTCCCAATTAAGTAATGTGCGATGTGATTTTGCAAATCTGGACACAATGGCCTACCCGTCCCGAATGACGTCAGAGGATCTTTAACGTCCCCCGTGAAGCACGCCGCGATTTGTTTGGCGATGGGAGGCCTCCACGCCTCCTCCTTAACATCACGCACCCGTTTTGATCACAATCCACCTTCGAGGACCGCCCGTGGTATTTACACCCGAGTCGTTTTCCAGCCGTGTGCCTTCACCGGAGGGCTTCATCTGTCAGCACGTCGTTCGACTTCACCAATCCAGTCGTGTTTGTTTAACACGTAGGAGGCTTTCGCGACCAATATCATCCATAATAGAGTTTTTTTTGGGTTAGATCGCGTAAATGTGTCGTTAAAATCCGCCACTACCCGACATCAGCCAACCAGTAAGGGTTGTCACGTAAAGTGAACGTACCAATTCGTCACTCGTACAGCACACCGGTGTGTTGGAGAGCCAAGCCACAACATTTAGTCGTGTTTGTTTTGCCTCCTTTCCATCATTTTACAATCCCACTCGAACTCTCAGCAAAGCCTCGCCCGGAAAAGCCACCCTCAGTCCCTGCCCAAGCACCAGCGACACTTGAGTCAGTGCGGCGACTCGCACCGCTGCACGGCGATGTCTAATTGTAAGTGGCACATTGCCGACGAATGTTCGGTGGATGCGACAATGTGACGGCGGCGCGGGTGTGGCCCCGCAGTGAGAAGCGGCGTCAGTGGGGCTCGCCCAGACGCCACCCCGGGGCAGCCCGGTGCGGCGGCCTTCACCACCGGGCCCCTTCACAACAACACCACCACCACCACCCGCTCCACCCACCCGGAGGGGCGTACTCTCGCTCGCTCCTCGCCACCACACCGAGGGTGCACCTCACAACTTTGTTACGTTATTTAAATGTTGGATCCAAACAAACGTCAGTGATGTCCTGCTGCTCAAATGAGCATGGAACTCCTGTTTAACAGCTCTGAGCCAGTGGTGAAAATTCCACATTCCTATGGCTAATCCATTACTAGGACAATCACTGTTAATTTCCCCACACCGAAGTTCTCATTTTATTGACCCCATTGAGATAATAGGCTGAGTCAACCCCCATCCATTATCTGAAATTGGGATGGGCAAAACAAATCGATGCATCGGTAACGGTGATGACATTTGTGCTGAAACGTCCAACAACATCGGGATCTCGATGTTCTGACATCGCTGTTATGTTGGATGAAAACACCTACATCTGATGAAAACACCTACATCTGATGATAACACCTATCTATATCTGATGAAAACACCTACATCTGATGAAAACACCTATATCTGATAACACCTATATCTGAAAACACCTATATCTGATGAAAACACGTCTGTAAAAGTTACTAGATATCTGTGAAAAAAATACTTTATAGCTCATCGGAATCTTCCAGTATTAATATTATAAAACGTCGTTCAGTCGTGGTGCACGATCGATGAATGTCGTCACGCATACTTGACCCCCCCCCCCATCCCCCATGCGACAATGACGAGGTGACGCCTTCAAACTCAACTAAACGGGAAGTATTACATTTCACGCCGTGACGTCGAAGCGTGGGGGCTCCCCAACGCGCGGGGCCTGGGGCAGTCGCCCCGATTCGCCGTACCCGAGGGACGGCTCCGCTCGCACGCGATGCCACGATGGTTGTTGCAGTACAGTATCCACAAGTCGCCCGTTCGATCTCCCGGCACGGCAGCTGAATCAATGGTCAAGTTGCCTCACGTCTGCCCACCCCCCTACGCCTCTGCCCCCCGAGCTGTATAAAGGGATACACCGCGGTTGCTCGCTCGCCAGCTCGCGTGTGGTGGGGTAAAGTGTGGGGGTATTCGCCACCTCTTCAAACAATTCTGGTCAGCGTGCAACAGGAGACATCGGTATCCCTCTGGAGTGGAGCCTCTCGTCCGCTAGCAGTGGCGTGAGCGAGCTACTTCGGGGCTGCGCCCGCACCTGCTATCACTGAGCACCGAATGCCTCACGCAGCTTCGTGATTACAATGCCACTGGCATCGGTTACCGGTTGACGACGCGGTCGTTTAAATGCCCGCCGCGTCCACGCGGTCGTTTAAATGCCCGCCGCGTCCACTCGAGGTCCACGTGGCCCGCGCGCCGCGTGGCAGGTTCCCATGGCGATCAATCCGAGCGCGGGATTTCAAACAACATTTTGACAATTGCGACATTTAACTGCGGCTGCCCTGAATGGATCCCTTCCACGTAGCCCTGTGGTATAAGCGAGATAGAGAGCCGTGCGAGGCTGCTGTAGGACGGTGTGGGAGGGGGGGGGGGCACGGGCCGAGACTTCATTTCCCACGGCCCCACGAATGCCGCGCGCGACCGGCCACTCGAATCGGCCACACGGCGCGTCCGTCACTGCCAGCGGCATCGGAGCCGCACTCCTCGGGCGCCAGAGCTCGGGGTGGTTGCCACGCGGGGACGCCGTTCGCCGGCACCTCCGATGTGCACGGTTGTGTACGCAGGGCGCGAGACAAGTCCAGCACCCTGCGGCCACCGTGCGCCCTGACGACTCGCGCGTGTGGCGGGTGGCGACTGTGCGGTTAGTGGGGGTGGGGGGCTATGGGGGCCCTCGGGTGAGAGGATGCCCCCCCCCCACCCCGGCACGCGGGGATGAGCGCAGCGCGCGGCCCCGTCCGCTCCCTCCCTCCCGGCGCGGCAGGCGACAGATTCCCCGTGGAGTCGCAACATTCCCTCGCAAAATTACATTCCGCGCTCCCCTCAAATAGGAGGCCGCGGCAAGACGCGCCCCGACAGCATCAGCAGCAGCAGTCGCATCATCATTAGTAGCAGTAGCACAAGCAGCAGCATCAGCATCACCATGAGGAGCAGCTCCATCGCCGTCGGCCACAGGAGCGCGACCGTGAGCGGCGCCGCGGGCCGCTCGCAGTCGTGGGCCTCGGCGCCAGGGCCCGGCCACCGTGGCGTGGGCCAGGCGGTGGTGGTGGTGTCCGAGACGTCGCAGGTGGTGCAGGACGAGAAGGAGGAGCTGCAGGTGCTCAACAGCCGCTTCGCGGGCTACATCGACAAAGTGCGGCTGTTGGGCGAGCGCAACAGCGAGCTCAAGGCGGAGCTGGCCAAGCTGCGGCAGAAGTCGGCGGGGCCCAGCAGCCTGTGGGCCGAGTTCGAGGCGGCCTTCGGCGAGGTGAAGGATCGCATCGTGCAGTGCGCGCACGTCAAGGGCGCGGCCGACATCGCGAAGGGGAACCTGCAGGAAGACCTCGAGTACTGGGCCTCGCGTCTCGAGCAGGAGCGCGGCCTGCGCGACCAGGCGCTCGCCACGCTCAAGGAGTTCCGCAAGGACGTGGACGACGCCACGCTGCAGAAGGTGGACCTGGAGCGCCAGGCCGAGCAGCTCACGGCCGAAATCGAGTTCCTCAAGAAGCTGCACGACGAGGAGGTGGCCGAGCTGCTGGTGCAGATCCAGGAGGCGAACGTCTCCGTGGAGTTGGAGGCGAACCGCCCCGACCTGGCGGCCGCGCTGCGCGACATCCGAGCGCAGTACGAGTCGATCGCCACGCAGAACGTGGCGGACGCCGCGGGCTGGTACAAGAACAAGTTCGACGCCCTGCAGCAGCAGGCGGCCAAGCGCGACGAGCAGATGCGCGCCACCAAGGAGGAGATCTCCGAGTTCCGGCGCCAGGCGCAGAGCCTCCAGGGCGAGATCGACGCCATGCGCAGCCGCAACGAGGCGCTGGAGGCGCAGCTGCGGGAGATGGGGGCCGAGCACGCGGCACAACTCGACGAGATGCGAGACGCTGCCGCGCAGCTCGAAGCGCAGCTGCGCGGCCTCAAGGCCGACATGGCGCAGCACCTGCGGGCCTACCAGGAGCTGCTCAACATCAAGCTGCAGCTGGACGCCGAGCTCGCCACCTACCGGCATCTGCTGGACGCCGAGGAGAAGCGCCTCAAGGGCAACGTGGCCTGAGCTCAGGTAAGAGCCACGGGCGCGCACCACGCACGGCGTCGGGCACTGCCGAGGCAGGGGGAGACGCCGAGCGCTGGGGAGACAAAGGCGGCCGGGCGTGGTGCTCGCCACTACACCCCGCGTGGCCGTGTCCGGCATCAGCGCTCGCCACAAAAACAAAGATCCCCGTATCGCCTGTAACAGACTGTTGGGGCAAGTCGTCGTTTGCGAGCAGCACCTGTGAAGGCCGGCACGGTGGGGTTGAGTGGCGAACACCACGCCCGCTCGCCGCCTTTGTCTCTCCAGTGGCGATGTTTACTACACACCGCCCCGGGTACTCATTTGAGGCTGAGTCTACCTAGAGCAGGCCCAGCTCTAGGTAGACTCGCCCCGTGCAGCAGCAGCACCACTCAGCGTGTCGTGGCAAGCGCTGCTCGCGAGAAACAGCAGCAGCAGCGGGCTGTGAAGAATCGGCAGCGCTCACGAGATGGTAAACTAACCAGCACCACGCCCGGCCGCCTTTGTCTCCCCAGTGCTGATGTTTAACACACTGCACCAGGTATCTATGTAATGCTCTATTGAGATGAAACTGGACTGCGCGCGTGCGTGGGGAGAACAAACACGGAGCGCGGTGCGAGGCGGAAGGCCGCCCTGGTCAACGCCGCGGGTGGACGGTTCGGATCCCTGGCGTCATTGGGCCAGTGCGTCTTGGTCCGGATTAAAACGCCACTGCCGATTCCTCAGTTGGGTTCACTCGTAGCGACATCGCCCCCTACTGGCAGACTATGAATTATCATGATTTGTTGTACTGCCTTATCCTGGCCACCGCTGAACCCAGCAGGTTTGCGCATTGAAGTTTTGGGCTCGAGGCGCTGTGGGGGGGGGACCGGGGAGAGGGCCCCCCCCCCCATGGCAGCTCAGGCCGCGACCGTATGAGAGCGCAGGCGCTGCCCTTGCTGCTGAGTGACGCTGCGATGTTGTTCCCCGCGCTGCAGATGCCGAGAGAGGACGCCTCAGCCGAGCCTCCCTCCTCCTCCTCGCCTCCCTCCTCCTCGCCACCTCCTCCTATCATCGTCTGGAGTGCCCAGCCTCACCGAGTCTCCAGCAGCTCCGGCTCGCCGCTCCACACGCCTCGACAGATCACCGTGTGACACACACGTCACCAAACAGCAGTGTGTCACACCCACCAACGTGTCTTGTGCCACTCTTAGATGTACGCTAGTGTCCCACACACATCACATGCCCGTTGCACACCCGTCACTGACACATACACGTCACTGTTCCACTCCAAAGTGTTGCACACACCACCACACCCATTGCAGTGTCACATCCATCACAATGCCATACCCATCAGCTTGTCCCACGCGGTTGTCACATAGAGCGTGACGCCATCGGCATCACCGCACCCCCCCCACACCCCCCGGGGCAGCGAGATAACCCTGCTGGCTGGGCGAGGCAGTGGCACTCCCCGGACTGTCTCTGGCTGCTCACGTGGTACACACGTTGCGCTCAAGTTGTTCGTCAGCTACGCGAGAATAAACTGGAACGAGATCGCGATGTGTCCTCACCGCCGTGTGTCTGCGCGCGAATGCACCCACACGTCAGTTACACGATCGCATCACAATAGCGATGCCATGCGTTCACTAAGAAGCCTAGAGTCTCAAACTCATTTTCTTGCCTGCATTGGGATGTTTGGCCAATTCCTCATTTTGCACGGAGGTAACAAAAGCATCCGAAACAAACCCACAACATACGAGGGTAAAACACGCCAAAGTCCAGGCAGAAGAGTTCACAAAGCCACGTGACAAGCAGCAAGACAGCCACGCGGTGAGTGGGGGCTAACAATTGCCCAAGCTCTGCGGTCCGAACCCACGCGTGTGAGGGGGGACACTATTCCATAGAGGGAACAGGTAGAGTCCACATTTTAGATGTACTGCCTTCTGGCAAACCTCTATCGATGCCCACTGTGAGGGCGTTTCAAAAAGTCTGTGATGATCCACCACTCCTCACTGCTGACTCCACAGTGCAAGAGTACAGGCCACGTGCAGCAGAGCCACCTCCCCGAACACCCAAGACACCTGGTGTTGAGGCGAGCTTTGTTCTCTGCACGGGGCAGACAGGGCTTGCTCCGTAGAACCTCACTCCTCGTGCACACCTGGACGCCCGCCCCACTGCCCCACAGAGCGAGGGTGAAATAAATTACCACTTTGGAACAAGGTCCTTTATTTTGGTAAATAAGACATTACAAATACACGACGTATACCTGTACACATGCGCATTCACAAAATATTGGTCACCGGGGGAACCAAAAGTGAAAGCTTTATAACAAGTCGGAGACGGGGCACAAGGTCGTGGTGCGAGTGAGACAACGCCGCCTCCCTCAGGCCTTCATCTTCTTGCGCTTGAGGGCTTTCCACTCGCCCTCCTGCGTGGCCAGCAGGTGGTGCAGCTCCTTCACCTTGCGCTTGCGCTCCGAGTCTCTGTGAAGCGACACCCAGAGCAGTCCAAACTTGTTTGTCTCGTGATGTGACAGAGGCAAAGGGAGGCCAGAAAACCCATCAGCTCCTGCACCGATTAGCACGGTTGGCTACATATGGTGCGAAAAAAGTTCAACATTCATACACACAAAGGTCTCCCGTACAGCCTTAGCAGACTTTTGGGGCAAGTGCTGTTAGCGAGCACCTATAAAAGCTCGCACGGCACACATGGGGGTGGGTGGCCAATGCCACAGGTCTGGCCGTACACACACGTGTCCACACACACACGTGTCAACACACACACGTGTCAACACACACACACACACGTGTCCAGACACACACACACACGTGTCCACACACACACGTGTCCACACACACACACGTGTCCACACACACACACGTGTCCACACACACACGTGTCCACACACACACACGTGTCCACACACACACACACACGTGTCCACACACACACACACGTGTCCACACACACGTACGTGTCCACACACACACACACGTACGTGTCCACACACACACGTACGTGTCCACACACACATACGTGTCTACACAAGCGCAGACAACAAAGGCACGTGTACACAAACACCCGCGCGAGCGTGACGACGAGAGGGTGAGGGAGGAGGAGTGCACCTGTCCATCTGCTCCTTCAGCTGCTGTCGTGCCAAGAACTGCGTGTCCCTGCGGATTTCGCGCACAGCGCCCTTCCACTCCTTCTTGTGCTGCGCCACGAGGCGCTTGCGATCCTTCTCGGGCTTGCTTCCCGCCTTCTTCCTGCCAAACTCCAGCCTGCGCCAGAAACGCCGGATGCCACATGCGCGTTCACGCACGACCCGGACCGCCTCCCGGATCCACGCGTGCGGCACGCAGCCGTTTACTAAGCTCCCTCGGCATCCATCTTTCCTCCCGCCGCCACAGGAATGTGGAATTTCCACAACTCGCTGGGGGCCACCAAGAGAGCCAAGTGTCGACCAGTGTCTACCACCGCGCTCCTGTCTCATGCTTTATGAACCGAGGACCCTTTCATAATTCAGTACAAAGTGTGGTATTCACGCTATTATTGTAGGGTGCCGACGGCCAGCCAGTAGGAAGTGATGTTTCTGTGTGTAATCCCAATTAAGTAATTTGCAGTGTATTTTTATGATTTGAAACCGTGACGCTGGTACACAATGGGCCTACTCGCATCAGGGGATTTATATATTTTTGGGTAAATTTTTGTCGTGTAACCCTCAACCACCCGACCCGGCCAAACAAATTCAACTGTACACGAGTACGAGTGTTCAACGCACCAGTTCCCATCTCGACTTTGCCGGTATATTAAAGAACAATTCTCACAACCAAATGCAGCAATGAGACACGTCGCTTACTAAATTTATAACGACTGCTCTGGACTGGCGGACTGTTGACGTAGACCCTCCGAAAGGGACTTACACTTGCTCCACTTTGGGCTGGAACATCTTGAGGGGCTGTGGCCTGCTCTTCTCAAACTTGAGCAGGGTGAGCGTTTGCGGAGCGTCCAGGTCCGCCTTGATCTCCTCCACCATGGCCTGGAGGGTCGGACGAAGCGACGCATGGTTTCCACGCGGCACACAAACGCCGTCGCCAAGGCAGGCCACTTGGGCCGGCCTCGGATTTCACAAGGCAACTTCACGTGGTCCAACTCAACGGCATTCGAGTGTAAACCACGTCACTCTCGCACACGAGGCGATCCTTGCCTCCCGACTTCTCGCCCCGTTAAATACAATCGTAAACCGGCTAAGATGTGGGCATCGCGACCAGCAGCCCATCTGTGTCAAAGCCAATCGCTGGTGCATTAACGGGGGCGGCTCCAAACAGCACCGAGGCCCGGATTCTTAGTCACAGCTCAGACGTGGCTCTAGCTAAAGTGAGCCGTGGCTAAGAGCCATGCGCTTAATCTGAACCGGCTCTGAGCACGGTCCCAGCCATGTTCAGGATTCTCAAGGGCCGAGCCTGAGTCAGGCCGCAGGTGAGCCATTCGGGTGTCGTTGGAAGCTACCGAGTGGCTCAAGCGTGAGCTGAGCAGGAGTGCTAGAGGCTGGGCCAGAGCCGAGCCGCGACTGAAAAGACGGCCCTTCGCGTCTGCGTCGCAGTAGCCATCCGTGCGCACCGAGTGGCTCAGTGCTGGCGGAATGGCAGCACACCCCATGGGCTGCACGTGAGGCCAGGGCCACTTTCCCCGCAACTTCTCAAAGTGGGGGGGGGGGGGGGGTGGTTCTGGGATATCCAGATTTTTCGGTGGGGCCCTACATTAGCAATAATAATAAAACTGGATGGGCGCCTACACAGGAGCGTGCATGTGGACGCCCGTGTGTGGGCGTGTGTGTGGGCGTGTGTGTGGGTGGCGTGTGTGGGCGGTGTGTGTGGGCGGTGTGTGTGGGTGCGTGTGTGCGTCTGTGTGTGGGCATATGTGGCGGCCGCTCACCTGGAAGCTGGGGGGGTAGTCGCTCAGGTCGAGGTGCGTTCCCAGGAGCTCGCGGAGCGGCTGGAAGGCCGGCGTGCGCGAGGGCAACTGCGCATACGCACGCGCGCACTCCTGCACCAGCTCCAGGCATAGCCCCACTGCGGAGATCCTGCATCCCGCGGGGGCGGCACAGGAGTGACGCGCGGGAGAGTGACGCGCAAGAGAGTGACGCGCAGGAGTGGCATGTGGGCGAGTGACGCGTGGCCGGGTGAGTTACGCGGGTGCTACAGGTAGTGGCGTGTGTGGTTGCACACGTGTCGCATGCTCACCGGAAGTGGTCGTGCATGGCTGTCGCTGCGGTGGCAACCGCAGCGACTGCTGTGGTGGCGGCCTCGGGAGTGGTGGCGGTGGCGACGGTGGCGACGGTGGTGGTGTTGGCAGGAGCGGTGGTGGCGGTGGTCGCGGTGTCTTCGCGCTGCAGCTGGATGACGGCGCTGAGCGAGAGCGGCGCCTGGCTCCATGAGGCCAAGGAGGTGGCGTCACGCACCACCAGCAGCCCCCTCCCGCGCACTCCGGCACGGAACGGAGGAACCGCGCGCACGCCTGCCGCGCACCGCAAGGAGCACGCGGGACACGGCACAGAGATACGGTGACATGCGGTACAAACGTGCGCCACGCGCTCGCCTGCCGTGCACACGGCACTAGCGACACACGGTGCATACAAACACAATACACAGATAAAACGGCGCGCAGCACACAACTCGCAAGACACAGCACAGACACAGCAGCAGCAGCAGGCTCAGTGGCTCTTAATGTGACTCGTGAATGGGGACAGTGGTTGGCACAGGAATCAGAGCAATGTGATCGGATGGCCACCCGATCGTGAGATTCCTAAATTACTACAAATGTTCTCATTTTGAAGCAGTTGCCTCTTAAAACAAGAGATCTTTTGGAAATAAAGAATGGCCAATCAGTCGAAAAACGAGCATCATTTGCCGTTGTCTTACCGCGCCAACCGCGGAGGGAGGCGAGCGAGCGAGCACACGAGCAGAGATGGCGTGGCAGGGTGAGACGCGATGGTTACCTGGTGCCGCGTGCGGTGGCAGCGCCAGAACCAGCAGCCCGTGCAGGTGTACAAGCAGCTCGGGCACAAAGCGCTGGGACAGCCGCACAAACTCCAGCAGGAGGTGACACACGAAGAGGCTGACACCCACCGCACGGAGACTGCTCACGGCACACTGGGGGACAACCACACAGCCACGTCCTGTCTACACAGAGACAACCACAGAACCACGTTCTGTCTACACAGAGACAACCACAGAACCACGTTCTGTCTACACAGAGACAACCACACAGCCACGTTCTGTCTACACAGAGACAACCACAGAACCACGTCCTGTCTACACAGAGACAACCACAGAACCACGTTCCGTCTACACAGAGACAACCACACAGCCACGTTCTGTCTACACAGAGACAACCACAGAACCACGTTCCGTCTACACAGAGACAACCACACAACCACGTTCCGTCTAGACAGAGACAACCACAGAACCACGTCCCGTCTACACAGAGACAACCACAGAACCACGTCCCGTCTACACAGAGACAACCACAGAATCACGTCCGGTCTACACAGAGACAAC